CAATCAACATTAAACAGATATTTTCCCCTAGTATGAAATTACTTAGTAATACACGCTCATAATTAAATCAAGAGTAGGGTCGACAAATTTCTATTTTCATCACAAGAGCTGAATTTTAATGAAACAGTTCATATTTTCAGACTTAATCAATTTGTAATAAATTACAATTTAATAGTTGAATTCATGAGTCAATTAAAGTTAGACCAGTATGGAAAACCTGAGAGCACTGAACGGCCATTTCGATCTCATATGCGATTCTCCGGCAGTGCTCATCCATAGTCTCTCACGCAGGATTCGAACCCAGGGTCTGTCGGTCTCGTGCGCGAACGCTTAACCTCTAGACCACTGAACCGGCATGTCTAACTTCAACCAATTCAAATACGATTATCAAAAAATTATCATTATTTGATTGAACCGAGTCGATTTTATTTTATGCTTTATAAATCATACAGTCTATTGAATATAGAAACCATTCTAGATTTCATGAATATTTTGTAGTATATTAATTGAAGTGTATTTCACAGATTGAAATCATGAGTCAATTGAAGCTAAACCACCATGAAAAACCTGGAAGCACTGGACGGCCGTTTCGTCCTAATATGGGACTCCTCAGCAGTGCGCATCCACGATCCCGCACCCCGCTTTTCCATAGTGGTCTAGCTTCAATTGACTCATGACTTCAATCTGTGAAATTTCTAAAATCTCCACAAACCCCTTCTGAAATGTATTTATTAAATATCTGTGTCAATCTATGCATAATACAATCATTCGTTAGCCGAAATGATGATTAAATATTTAATTATCTTAGTTAAATATCTTAATTGAAATAGAATCAACTAATTTTCCTATGCTTTATGATACCAGAAAAGAATCAACTGTTTGATATAATTTATCATTAAGAAGATTTTATTCAATATGTGCTCTTGTAAAATGTAAAAAGTATTCTAGGAATTCAAGAATGTAAAACAGACTATTATAATTAAGTTTACCATTATATTTCAGCCATGTGTTATGTCTGAAAAAGAAAAACGTTATTCAGTTTAATCTTTAAACTTTTAGTTTATTGTATATAAAACAAGTGAGCAATGGTAATAAAAAGAGAGCATTAAATTAATAAATGTATACATAGTAAGGATAATCATATATGATTGATAAAGGCTATGAGATCTTGGAACAGGTACTAGAGTTAAAAACAATTTTTTTTAATTTAATCACATTAGAAGGGTTTCTGTGGATATTATAGTAATTTCAATGGTTGAGATCATGAGTCAATTGAAACTAGACCACTATGGAAAAGCTGGAAACATTGGACGGTCGTTTCCTCCTAGTATGAGACTCTTCAGTAATGCGTTTCCACGATCCCATCTATTTGATAGATTTAAGGATGTATATAAATCATTGAATAATGTGAATAGAGTAATACCAAAAACATGATGATTTAAAAAAGATATCACAATAATATCATTCATTGTAGTCATTAATATTAAATATTTTGATTGAATATCATAAATGTTACATGAATTGAATGTGGATTATCTTTATTATTATTTTGAAAAGAACAACATTGTACTTCATTATTTGGCATTATATTTAAATAACATTTAGATGGTCTAATAAACATATACCTATCTAGTACAAATCATTCTATAAAAAGAGAAAACATTGAAAAAAAACAATAACTATGAGTCATTGAAATATATATATTTCCCATTTTATTTACACCCAACGTTTTATAACCTATATATATATAGTTTTTCCCAACAGAATGCCAAATTCTGATGACGTCAAATATATTATAAATTGCGTGTAATGAATAGATACGCGTACTGAATCACATATTGATAGATGAACAATTATGCTTGCTATATATTCACTAGTTGAACAGTGAATAATAATAATAACGATTCAAATGACCTAGCAGTTCTTTTAAAATTAACTACTTAAAATTGACACTAAAAACAATACTATTAATTGATATTGCAATTTATTGGTTTTCATATCATTTGTAATGGTAAATTCAAACTTTTGAAGATTTACCCATCAACAACAGTAATTCTTAGTTATATAACATTTAAAATGATAACATCATCTAGCTTGTCACTTATTCCTTGTTTATGAGTTTATCTATTAACTAGACATACTCTTCTTACATACTATGAATTAATAAGATAAAAAGATTATGTCTTTCTCATTTTGAATATTCTCTTTTCATCGTATTATTTAGCTTAATCTATGAAACAGGGTAATAACACTTCCTTAAACTGGATAAATACAAGCAATCATACATTCTATTCACTTGATACAGCTAAAAACATCATATACATGTGAAAACATTAAATTAAATAGTTCTACAAAAAACAAATTTCAATCCAAGTATATCTTACGGGAGGTTAGTCGCTACCCGAAATACCAAGATCGTAACATCACTGACTGACACTGTGAGTTTAAATCTAAATAGCGGTATAATTCTACTAAGGATTGTAAATACCTCTTTCTGACAAGTACCAAGCAGCATGAAACCTAGGTTGAGTTCCTTACAGATTAGCTTTAATTGTCTAACATTTAATAAAAATAGTCTATTTGTAGATAAACATCTTGTACACCTATAAAATATGTGCAACGCATCTAACGAATATAAGTTTATATATTCGACTGTGTACCACTGTTTGTGAGATGCTTATTAGTATAAACTAGTTGCCCAAACCAAAGTAAATGAAGTGAGATTCGAACTCACGATCTACCAGTTGAAAGTCAAATGCATTGAATACCATATCGCCGATTTCCTTTCACAAACAAACTTCTTGTTGAAACTGTCGAGAGAAGTGAATAACCTCTCTATTTATTATTGAGTAACTATGATGCAATCCAATCACTTTTGATGGCGAAACTCTGGAAGATGTAGAATCCTTCACATACCTAGGAAGCATTATCAATGAACAAGGAGGTTCAGATGCAGACGTAAAGGCGAGGATTGGCAAATCAACAGCCACATTCCTACAATTGAAGAACATATGGAACTCAAAACAACTTTCAACCAATATCAAAGTGAGAATCTTCAATATGAACGTCAAAACAGTCAGTTCTACTGTATGGAGCTGAAACTTGGAGAACTACAACAACCACAATCAAGAAAGTACAAGTATTTATAAATAGCTGTCTACGCAAGATACTCAACGTCCATTGGCCGGATACCATCAGCAATAGCCTTCTGTGGGAGAGAACAAACCAACTTCCAGCTGAAGAAGAAATTAGGAAAAGACGATGGAAATGGATAGGACATACATTACGCAAATCGCCAAACTGCATCACGAGGCAAGCCCTAACTTGGAATCCTGAAGGGAAGCGGAAAAGAGGAAGGCCATAGAAGCAGATATGAAAAGGATGAATGATGACTGCATTCATTGTAGAAATCAAATGTCATTCTATTACTTAACTACTAAATGTTATGAAGTGAATATCTATGATTCTGCAAAAGCTCTAAACGCCTTTACCCTACACTTTTTTCCAATGTTAAACTGCCTACTGTATATTTTCTAGAAAAACGATTTTTTTTTCTAAATGTATGGATTTGTAAAACTAGAGTTCATAGAAAATCTATAATCAATCGCATAATTACGTTTTCAGTAAACTGATGATACGTGAACTATCAAAACATTGTGGTTATCACAATTTAATATAATGCTTAATAATCGTTATGAGTATATATGATTAGCTACAAGCTACGGTGTTCAAAACACGTTGAGAGAATTCAATAACTTAAAATTTTGCTAATCAATGAGTTTTGTGCCAAATTTACAGATTTTAAACAAGAAAACTGAGAATTTTTTTCAATAAACTCTTTGTCATTACTGAGTTACAACTGAATATAAAATTATCAATGCATTCTATGAAACCAGCACCATTTTTGTTTGTAGACCAGAATGTGAGCAACATATATTTTATAAAAACCAATAACATCGTGTACATATCATTACATTTATAGACGAGTTAGTGATTCCGTAGCTAAATGATCGTGCGTTAAGTAGCTAAGCCAACAACCCTCCTGAAATCAAGGAACGAATCGAGGGAAACTTCTAAAATTACTAGTTTTCCACCCGTTTTAGGGTATGATCTCTAACCAGGAGGTCCACTTATCGATTTAAAATATGTAGATAGCATAGTCCTATATGGCGAAAAGATCGCCATGGGCTATAGTGCATGTTCGCAATGCTGTGTTCAGGACTAGTCTGTGTCAACGCCTAAACTAATGATGGGCAGTGAAGTAGTTAAGCGCGCTGACTACTTCACGTACCTTGGAATTTCCATCAACCCTGGTGGATTGGTGTCTGATGAAAGCCCGACTAACTTTGGACAACTTGCATCGCTGACGGCATAGGAGAGGCGGGAGTGTAAACAGCCTAAAACTCCCTTTATTATCTTATGGCTGTGAAAGTAGAAGATATGTGTAAGCTGTAAGCTTTCAGTAATAGGTTTCTTGAGGTACCGTTCACGTTTCGTAGAGCGATTGGATGAAAAATGTTACGGTTAAACAAAAGATACTAGGCAAAAGTGCCAAATCAGTTGATGAGGTCACCAATTCTTATTGACTGTGATGGTTCTAGTACAAGTTACGTACGTCTAATCATTGTTCAACTCGAAAGACAATTTTTTCTGGTAGAGAAGTTGGAAGAAAGCTAGGGATGATCGAACCAATACATAGCATCAGTCTATGAAGTCACTGTTTTTAGATGAAGATAGAATCCATCATAAAGACGTAGATCTATCCACACTTTATCTTTAGATCTTAATTTCTATTATTCTTTGGCACATACTTTTCAAATCGTATTCTTAATGTTCAGCCTCTAATTGTCTACTTTACGATTTCAATTACTTCACTGTCCATCTTGTTAATTGCATCTAGTCGTGCTACTGTGATGTTATATTGGGCCAATGAATATTTGTGTTAAACCTATGTTGATTATGACTGAAAGCACATTACTAAATAAACTAAACCCTGTAATTATGTCAATAAAATTCAACTTCTTAAATTTGTGTTGAATAGCGACACTATTCACAACAAGATAAACAAAAGACAACAAAGAACTATGTGAGAATACACAAAGTTCATGCCCATATAACTAAGACAAAACTTTAGCACAGAGTATGATCACTAAAACACCAAAATATGAAACCAACGAAAAACTATACATATTTTTACTACAAATTCAAGTCGATTACATAGGTAAAATAATAAAATACAAATAGTATACTGATCCTTCTGTAAAAAAAAGGAAAGAAGCAGTATTAAAAGAGAAAAAACAGGACAACGACGCTGTTACATTTCACAATCATTCCCATTAAGGATTTAAATAGTAAATTATGTGAATTCTTAAAAATACACTTGACATCTGTACAAAATAAATAAATAAGTATTTGTTTAAGAGAAAAACAAAATACTATATTGAAACACAAGTTGAACAACAATAAGTTAGTTAAATAAATATTAAAATGTAACTTTAACATGAAATTTCCTTGGAACACGTGAAATACGCCATGAATCTTTCTCTTCAAATTTACTGAACAATGGTTCAATTCGCATTGACTTTTTAGTACGTGATAATTTAGTTGGATCGCCAAATTTGAAGAAATTCGGTGCAAATTCTACTAACCATCTTGGATCGATTGTGGTTACTTCACGCATATACTCTTTAGTAGTCATAACTAGTTCATGATAAACAACCCTAAATGAAATGATTTAACAAAGAGAGAGAATTGTGTGTGTGAAAAAGTGTAATTCATATATATACGATGATATGAAGCATTTGAATAAATTAAATATTATTCTATATGTAATTATTAGTATAAGGTGATTAAGATCTAAAAAATACTTAGGTTTTAATAAGCCTAATCTAATTGTAAATATCACGAATTAATGATTATTATTTCTTTTCTTTTTCTAATTATTATTAAAATTCATTTATACTATGAATTAGAGTGATATAAACTTATTATTTATAAGAATTATCATATTCGATTATATTTCCCACCTTGAAATTTAATTACCTACCGATAGGAAACTAAGAGAGGTATCTCTAAAAAAACAAAACGTTTATAATCTAAATCAGTGGATGATAACTAACAAAACATGAGAATATTTAAATTATATTTCTTATTAGTTACGTGTAATGATTAAATCACAGATAAAAACAGAAGTAAATGATCATAATGATGTTTAGATCTAATTAAAGAAATAGAAACCTCTGAGTAAATCAATAATTGAATATTAATGCTTAGAATATATGAGAAGCTTAAGTCGTCATCACCATCGAAAAGTAGATTGGTGTCTATACCACCACATACAATCTACTATCTGGTTGTTAATGATTACCTTGCTAACATCACAGTATGTGGTTAAAAATACCTTGGACTAATATAAAATTTACAGGGAATTTCAAAAGTAAACAGACGATCCGCTAATTTAACTAAGATTTTTACAGATAATTGGTTGTAGGCAGTCGACAGAAACCCATAGACCTAGGTTTCGGAGCGATTGAAACTCGTCAACAAGACGTGCTTGTAGTCTCGAGGAAATTAGTGCCTCTTATGGGATTCGAACCCGCGCCAGTCCCGTCTCGTACAGCTCATTGGTAAGGCCTCTCAGACTACGAAACTTGATGACTAGTGGCGACATTGCAAATTAATTAATAGAATTCGATTAGGACTTGAAGGACTACACCAATATGGTCACCACTCAGTAACCGATCAATTGTAAGGTATGTACTATGTGACAACTCTTAATTACCATGAGTTCAATTTTAGAAAACATACAGAATCTTATCATCGCCATATCATTTGAATCTACATGATATCAACTACGTATGCAAACAGATTTTAACCGTAATTTACATGACATAATTATACATATTTTATATAATCATATGTACAGTAAAAAAAATCATAAAATTAATTTTCTCTTAGTGATCGATAATTTATTCATCCTCTCTTTTAAGCAGTCTTATTTTGTTAACAAAACGTTGGTAATAATAATAATAATAATATTTCATGATATATGTATATAAAGAAAAATTTAATCTCCCCTCAAATAAACTCAAGAATTATTCTCATTAAAAGGAAATATACATACACAGAATTAAGTGATTACTTAATAATTCTACTACAAAGACCACCACTGTTACTTCACAAGTTGGTGTGTGTATCAGTACATAGTAGAACACAAAACATTGTTTATTTATTTACTTATTTATTCGCTTTTTACTCTTTTTGATGCTCTAGTTTACTCCTTCCTCATGAGTAGTAAAAAAAGAGGAGGGGAAGAGAGTTAACAATTTAATGTCAACAAATTGGGATAAGATTTCTCCAATTTACATTGTACTCTGCACCTTTGTGTTTTATTGTTTTGTTGAATAGATTTAATAATTTCCAACCTAAACATATTTATATAGATATATTAAAACTAGTTCTACACATCCGATGTTATTGGTATCGATGGTTACGTGGAAATAAGTAGAACAAAAAAAGGAGAGAAAAATAATTTAAAATATGGATATTTAGTAGGTCATACATTTATGACCTGAATTAAAGGGTGCCTTATATATTTCATTCATTTATACATTAAGGCAAGAAATTTTATGATATGCCTTAAATGTTTTTTCTGCATGCATTTAAGGAAAATACATGACGGTTGAATTCATGAGTCGATCTAGGCTAGACCACCAGTGAAAACCTGGAAGCACTGGACGGCCGTTTTGTCTTAGTATGGGACTTCTCAGTAGTGGGCACCCACGATTCCGCACGTGGGATATATACATATATATGAAGTTAAAATATGCACACGTTTGATTTATATGGTTTTCTCTAGGACTTAAAAAGGAAACCTTTAGAATACATTATTGTAGAAAAAGTTAAATAGATGCATTAGTCCAGGTTTTATTTTGAGAAATTAACAATAAGAATAAATTGTTATCAGTATCATCAAAGAAATATTCAGTTAATTTTAAGATATAGTAGCAAAGAGTGAATCTACAAAACTAAACGAATTTTATCTCAAGCTAACAATCACATTTATCAAGAACAAATCCAAAAAGTCTCGAATCAGATCAAAATCATTAATTATGTTTAACTTTTCTTTTTTGATAAAAAATACAATTCTGTATCAAACTACTACTAGATATAAGCTAGGTAATATGTTACCCAGTGTGAAATGATAATTAGATTAAGTAACAGTAGATTTAATAATCTGAAACCCTAAAGTTCGATTTCAATATTTCTAAAAATTTAATTGTTTCACTATACATGACTACTGCGCATCAAAGATACGTACAATTGAATACCTGAGATTTTCTTAAATTATTACTAAATAGTAGTTGACTATAGAAGTCGAATACTGTTGTGTAATTTACGCATTTTTCTAGCTAAGCATTTCACTAAATTGTCAGTGTTGCGAATGGCACAGAAAGAGTCATTTTCAACTGCCTTTCTGTATACAATAACAAGATTCTATATCATTAATGGAACAAAGGAATTAAATCAACTTAATTTCTGTTAACTGGAATGTGAATGTCTATTCCATACATTTTTTCAAAAGATGTAGATGGAAATGTTTAGGAAAATTCAACAGAATACATTCAATTTTTATCTAAGAGATAGCATTGATGTCTTAACAATGCATCACACATTTGTATAAACAAAATCAGTAATCGAATAGCTGCAATACAGCATGGAGAAACACTGAGGGAAGAATGAACTTACCAATCCGGTTGTCTATTAAATAATGCAGATGATGGATGAATATAAACAACTTGTTGGTCAACCAGCGTACGATAACCTTCTTGTGGATCTTTCTTTGCAGCATTACGAAAGAATCCAGACAAAATTGCTTTCTGTGCTAATGCAGTCTTTTTACCGCATGAAACTACATCAAGTTTATGTCTGAAATAAGCAAAAAAAATATGACGTATATTACATAAGACTCTCAATTTCGTATACGACACCCCCGCAGCGAGAAGGACTTTCCTGGCAGCGGCTGTAAACGCGGTGGGCATGAGAGAGCACTTCAAGAACAGTGGACTCTCCCCACTTTCGGTTGTACAAGAACATTTGGGGGCGAATGTCCGGCACTTTAACCGGGTTGGTGGATATGGAGGATCCTTTCTAGGAAAGTTGGAAAACCCTCATTCCAAACCAATGGTACACATGGGCTCCAGGATCCTGAATAAACAAATGACGTATGAATCCATTGTTGGTCACCCGCTACCATGGGACTGCATCTCCTTGAGGATTAGACATGTAGGTCAAAGGATCAAGGAGTTGCCCCTTAAGAAAACCCCGTGCTTAAGTCTGAGCAACAGGGCAGTATCCCGGCCCTCACACAAATCAAATGACCAAGCGTGCACATAAATATTTGGTGCCTCCTTTTACCAATATTTATGTGTTTAAAGAAATAAGACTGAAACAACAAAAATCATAGCTGAAAATAAAGTTGATGCTTACAACTTAACAAAATCATCAGTAGATGGTTATGGAAATTGAGTTTAAATTGATATCGTGAATGGATGAACGTAAGACCACGTGTGGGACCGCGGATGCCCACTGCTGAGGAGACCCATATTAAGACGAAACAGCCGACCAGTGCTTCCATGTTTTCAGTGGTGGTCTAGCATTTATCGATTCATGATGTTAATTTAAAATTTAAAAATTGATACAATATGTGAGAAATGATAACTAAAACATAGAATATGCTCCTTGAAATTCTAAGTATTATTTATAAACGTTTTTTCCTTGACGAATAAAGTTTTACATAATTAACTTTTTTGTGTTTTTCCTAAGCGGATTATTGAATTCACTATAATATTTTGTCAATTTCCTACATAGAATTTATTGTAGTCAATGTTAAATCGGTTTCAACCTGTATTGATATGTCTTTCAATACAAACCTTTTCGATTCCAAACGAGATCAGAAACAGAAAATGATATTTAGGTAGTTAAATAATGTCGACCTTACTCTGGGGATTATTTGCCATAAGTTTTCACGAACTAAAAAAATAAAACTTAATCCAGAAAAATAACAACAGCAGTTTGAATTAAATCCCTATTCAGATAAACCGTAAATGTAACAAAGAAATACATGATAATGTCTTCAAATAACTGAAACATTTCTAAACAATACGAAACAAAACAAGAATAGGATTGAAAGAACAAGATTTATGGTATATCAAAAATATGTGGAAAAAACCATGAATTGAAACGAAAACCAAGAGGAAAATGGACTAATATTAGGTACACAGTAAACTTGATGAACAAATGTTGTTCGACATTGAGCACTGCTATGCAACACAACATTGATTATGTTTCAACAACTACTGATCAGTTCGTGATAATCGAATCTATAGAACAAAATTCCATAATCTTCACAAAACCCTAATCCTATGCTAATAACTACTGACTTTCACAGTAGAATCTTCACAAATTCCCATACTGTCAATATTGACTTACTAATAAAAATATGTTATAGTAGAATTAATCCAATAATAAAACAATAAACAGTAAATACCTACCTGTCCATAATACCAAGCAATTGTTTGCGTACATCTTGAGCACGTTTTAATGTTCTTGCTTGCAGAAAATTGTCGTAACACCATGGTGCAGAGAATTTATTATTCTTCCATGCATTGTATACAGCCAATAGAGTAAGGTGATCACCTTCAGGTTGATGAAATTTCGCTTTACGTTGATCAGCCAATTCAGTTTTCTCCTAAATTATTTTTTTAGTATTAAAAGAAATAGCTTATATATTTTGGGGACAGAAGAAAAACATTTTTGAAGCCAGTTTAAATTAGATACTTTAAGCGAGTAGCGAATATGATGTGTTATATATATACAAGGGTTTAACATTTCATCTGGTTTTACCAGTCAAGCATAAGCAACGTAGAACGTGGCACATATGTGCACTGACCCAAGCTGTCACATCAAAATAGCATAATGGCTAGATGAAATTATTAATACAACTTTCAGAGTAGCAAAAGTAATGACATTATCAGAATTGACGGGGAACGTCAGACATAGGCAAACTAATTCGACAAGGTATAATGAGTTCACAGAAGAAAAAGTATAAGATAAATTTAAAATGAAAAGTGAATACATCTGGCATATTATATTCGGCTACATGTCACGTAACTTCCTCAACTATTGGTTACGATAATCGCAAGGACTTTTGATAACCAGATAATATGTAACTAATAACACAGCTTAATCTAATAGTCAATTACTTCATGGACTAATGTAAAGTATTAGCCTAAACACTAATGCTGAGGTAATTATGGAAATATACATAAATACTACCAACTAGATGGAACAACTCTGAATCACCACACGATATACAAATTGATTAGAATCTCAAGGAATGTCAAAAATAATTAAATTAGTCAATCCATTCTCTTTATTTCACAATAATATTTAAAAAGAAATGCCCTGGTATGACCGAGAGTGGGGTGGGCCCGCCCTTCTCGAAATGCTCTCACACGGCCACGCGTATACAGCCTCTGCCAGGGAAGTCCTACTCACTGCCCTCTCGTGGCGGGGTGTTGTTTACGAAAATGAGAGGACCAATGTCCGGCGCTTTAACCGGATTCTAAACCAATGGTGCACATGGGCTCCAGTATCCTGAAGGAACAAATGGCGTATGTACCAATCGTTGGTCACCGGCTACCATGGGACTGCATCTCCTCACGATGCTCCATTGCCCTGTGGATCAGACCTTTAGGTCAAAGGCTCGAGGAGTAGCCTCCTTAGAAAACCACCTACTCCGGTCTGGGCACCCGGGCAGTATCACAGCCCTCACACGAATCTAATGATTTATAAGGCGCATATCTATTTGGTGCCTCCTTGTACCAATGTTTATGTGTTTAAATAATAAATAATAAATACATAACTAGTGGTTGATACATCCAAAACCAAGAATCGGTTTACACAATAAAACTAGAAAAAATGTTTCATTGATTTCTAATTCATTTTAATACAAACTACCAAAACAAGAAAAAAAGATTATACTAACCTTAGGACGATAGAAAACATTTTGAACAGATAACATTGAAACGACAGTTAATACTTCTTCAGAACATTGTAAATGCACTGACATAATTAACATTTTAGAAAGCATTGGTTCAAGAGGAAATTCAGCCATCTGAATTTAACAAAATGATGAAGAAAAAGAAAAAAATAGTGAAAAGAAACTGAAGAATAAATTCTTATAGTCTGTCAGCCAGTTCAGTCTTAGACAAAGTAGATCTTGAGAAAATGTATAACCGGTCAAGATGCCACAACAATATAGCCAAAACATGTGTAAAACATAGGGGGGAGAAGTAATATTCACTGTCATGTAAAGCTGAACATGAAAAAGTGTGGTTGAACAACGAATGAGACTGAAGGATAGGAAACTATAGACTAACTTCTCGCTATGTCACTCAATAGTTACAAATATTGATACCAAGTATCAATCAAAAAGTTCAAACTTTCTCGTATAACTCGGAGTGATAGTTAGTGATTATATTTTTCAGTTACGCTGCCTTCAAATTTCTTTCATCCCACCTTAGATGCCAGTTTATTTAGCGATTCGAGATGTATCGCCTAAGCACGCGTAGCACATGTCCCAACAATCTAATCTGATCCAGAGTTATCAACCAACTTATAGACCCTACGAAGTAATCTTATTATTGTCCACCCGGTGCCTACACCAAGCATGTGGAAGAATTAGAATACACCCACGTTCAAAGAATTTCAGTCTTCTTATATGCTATAGTTGTGTAGGTTGTTGAAGTAATATAGTAATATAGTGAACTGCTATACAACAGACTCGCCATTTAAAAAGTGCACATATATTTCACCTGCGCTGCAGGTAACAGAAGTTGGTAAAAGCCGAAAAAACTTTATCTATGCCAAGACTACGACAACGAACAAATCACCAGGATGGACATGGTGTGGTACGAACAACCAAACTGCATGGATAAAAGATTGAATGATAGATTAAATTGTGAACAACAGAAAATTCATAACTCAAGTTGATAAGGGAGAAAAACCTTGGATGCAAAAATATTTGAAGCAACGGTTTGAAGAATCGAATAATAACTTAGACATATAATTAGAATATTTCCCGTATATTTATGGTCAATCGATAGAAAGAATGACAGACAATCAAATTCTCTTAGTGTACTATATTCGAAAATAAATGTAATGGTCATTTTATTTGTTCAGTAAAGTACGTTATATGGTTAGTCCTTGTTACAATTGATCAATCATTGAGAAATAGCCAATACTAAGTTTAGCTAGATATTAGTGTTGATTGAGTCCTACCACCCAATTTGGTGGTACGTCTGGTCTAAGTGATTCGACATCGTATGCACTATCTTTTTCTGTCAAACAATTGGAGAAGTTTATTAGAAAGCTCTGGACCAATTTTTTGCGTTAACTCAACACTAGTCAGCAATTTCGTGGGGATAAACTGCCCCTGAGCCATTCGGTGTCACCGACAGAGAAATTACCACTGAATTATCCAGGTCACAACAGATCTATAGTAGTATTGACTGAGTAGTAGTGTTATGTTCTTTTCTTTAGAAATGCTAGAAAAACAATTCTACAAAAATAAATTTTGACATAATTTACATTACTTATATATAATGGTGAGACGGTAAATTATTCGTAGACAGAGATTCAAGCTTGTGATTTAATAGTTGGCATTTCGAAAATTTACCAAATAAACTAATGGTTAACATTTTGGTGCTAACAAAGCAAACCGCATCGCACAAAAAAAGCAACAGACATCGAAGATGAAGTGTTTAAGATGAAAATAACTGTTAATTCAACGATTAAGATATGACTTCGTGTATATACATATATTTGTTTGACACCTTAGACGATACTTAGCTGAGGTAAACTTAAGAACTATTAGTAATAAATAGTTCAATACAAATAACAAATAATTTGAAGTTATTATTCAGGGAGATAAAAAAAATTTCATTGCATAATGCACATAAATACTACAAACTTTATAACAAAGAAATGGATGAATTGTAGCTAGCGATGAGAAAAAAGGAGCCCTTTTCATCCTATTTTGGACACGTCAGCCGAATGTGCCTGCGGTTGACACAAAATGTGTTCAGTTTGAGTCCACGTGTAAACGTCGGTATTAGGATGCAGACAAACTCAGCGTATGAGTTCCAAACAAGACGAAATGAGCGTCCTGAATTCTCCTTCTAGACATTGTCCATCCGTTTGATAAAACTTGTAGCAAAGTAGCCATATTGAGACAAGCCATACAGAATGCACATATGCCAACAACGACTGATCAAAATTAAGTCCTTAAAGCCAACAATGGGTTAATTTTAACCCTTTACTAACAAATAAATAAACAACTAATATGAAAGTTGTATAAAAGCATTACGATCTAACAAAAAAAAATTTAAAATTTGTACACATGCTATACTGAAAGGTTCAATTTCACAAAGAATGATCACATCAAATAATTCTGATAATGAGAAGTAATGTAGTGCACATGCACGATTTTATTTCTTATGTGATATTCATATCAGTAGTTAATGATGTGACGATTTATTTATTTATTTAAACACCAAATATATGTGCACCACACTTCATTATTCGATTTGTGTGACGGTTGGGATACTGTTCTGGCACCCAAAACGAAGCAGGTGGTTTTCTAAGGAGGCTACTCCTCGAGCCTTTGACCTAGAGATCTAATCCACAAGGCAGTGGGGCAACGTAAAGAGATGCAGTCCCATGGTAGCCGGTGACCAACAATAGGTTCATACGTCATTTGTTTATTCAGGATCCTGGAGCCCATGTGCACCATTGGTTTGGAATGAGAGTTTTCCAGCTCCCTTAGGCGGGTCCTCCTTACCTACCAATCTGGTTTAGTCGCCAAACATTCGCCTTTTGTCTTCTCAATCTCGTAAACAACATCTTCTCTCCAAGAAGGTAGTGAGTAGGATTTCCTTGGAGGTGGATATATACTCGTGACCATATTAGAGAATTTCGAGAGGGAGAACGGACTCTCCCGCACTCGGCTGAGATAATTCCTTCCTTAAGTAAGCAACAGGAACCCGCAAAAATAACAACAAAATATTCACAAAAACAATATTTCATCAAAATTATTATTATCCATAATAGACCATTAATAAAAATGTATTGACTTTTTATTATTCTATATCCTAACAATAAAGTGTTTACTAAACAAATTCGCCTAGATTAAGACAATAGTCCAAATCTAGGGCATAATGATGTAGAAAACTAGATCGACAACATAATACTTATCATCTAAAATGGTAACTAATGCTAATACATACACAACGGAGCATTCACCCACTTGTGTTTAAGTGTTCATATGTATATGTTTATGTGCGTGTGTATGGGTTCAAACATACAAGAACTTCCATAAACTAGATTTCATAAACAGAAAAATTCAACAACAAGTAATTGATAAACAAACTAATAAAAGAAAAAAATGGGCATAAAACGAGAGCAATGGTAGAGAGTGACATTGGTACAGCTTACAAAAATTAGTTCGTCAAAATTAGGGGTTATATTAAAAAGAAGTTATAACTGGATAATATTAAAATTATTTTCATCCACCGTGCTTAATCTAATAATCAGCCTTATTATCAATAGATATTGTATATGTATGAAAAGAATGATGATGATTTTCAATTTTACACACTTAAAAAAAATATCGAAGGGATGAGAATAACAATGGCAATAATGATAATAATAACCCTGATCTTGAAAGCAGACTGTGATTACTATTGAATAATTAAAATACCAGATTTCCAAGAGGTGAAAAACACTAGAATAGCGAGTACCAATGGAATTATTAATCTTAAATTGAGATCATGAACTGATCAATGTTAGACCGACATTGGAAACTCGGGAGCATTAGACAGCCTTTTCGTCCTAGTATGAAACTACTCAGAAGTGCGTACCCACAATCCCGCAAGCAGGACTCTTCGGTCTCGCGCGTAAACGCTTAACATTGGTCGGTTTGTTATCTCAATTGAGAAAAAAATCAACAATCTTTACAATCATAAATAGGTCTTAAATTGTATAATAGAAAACAGTCTATTTTAACTAATCATGCAATGTTATAGATAACTGTGAAACGTAAAATTTAAAATCCATTGGTTTTATTAGCCGACTATAAATGAGGAGGCTAGAAATTTATTTGATTATCTTGTAGAAGAAATAGATTTTCACATTTGTTACAAATGAATACATGGCAGTGATAAATACACTTGACCTCATAAACGACAAAACAATATCCATATAAAAAACGTGTTGTATATATTTGAAAATAAAAACCATAGGAATGAAGAATAAACATCTTAAAGTGTAAAATTAACCATTAAAAATATACCCTTCTTCCAAGACGTGTCAACAGTCCTTCATCATCCAGAGCAGATAAACCATGTAAAGTTTCCATAGCAGCGACAAGTGTCTGAAGGATAAAATAACAATAACGCAATAATAATGTATAGTTTTAAGTAATAAAAGTTATTAGAACATATAAAAATATATAATCAATTCATTCAGACTCAAAATCGTTCGCAATGGTACAAGTTCATTCACTCTTTATGTTCCCGTAGATCTAAGTTTCTAAATTCCTCACGAATTTTTTTCGTATAATTTTACCAATATATATTTTCTTCACGAAGTGTATTGTAGATGCCTAGTCTTTCCCATTACCATCAATACTGTTACAACCTCTACTACTTTGCGATTTACTCCAAGAATGTCATCTCGTTGTACTACTGGGGTGTGGCAACATGAACCAATGCATATATTTGCCAGGTTTTAAATTGTATTTGACTGACTGATAACACAAAGGTACGCCATAGACATTTATTAGGCGCGTATAATCAATCAGGTCGATAAAGGCACACAACCTCTAGTGTGCTCTACAAATTACGTTACCGTTGTTCATTAGATGCGGATTCTTGTCTAAAAATATATGACAGAATATTTGCAAACTACGTAGTATATCTTCTATAAGTAACAACTTGATCAAAAAGTAGGTGATGTGAAGGTTTTGACGTCCTAGACGATGAAATAAATGTCAAATGAAAGGGAAAAGCCATTCAGTGTTATAAAACGTCTCGACATCGTTTGTATGTATGCTAATTGATACATCAAAGTTAACCATCAAGTATTCTAAGTAATCATAATATTGGCTCACAGAACGTAAAAGATAAATAATAGGGTAGACTAATTCAAAAAAAAATTAGAAAACGTTATTATTATTAAGACAATCAAAAAGATTAGGATTCAATTTAATTATTTACCTGTAATGGGGGAGGATCCATAAAGTCAAATGACAATAAATCATTTATACCCATGGCTTTCAACTGTAAAACTGTACTTGCTAGATTTGTTCTTTGAATCTCTGGTACATTGGTCGCTAACATTTCATCTCTGTAGGCTCTTTCAGTATACAAACGATAACATTTTCCAGGACCTGTACGACCTGCACGTCCAGCACGTTGTTTAGCTTGAGCCTGAAGTAAATAAAAAAGGGAATATTATTAATTTCTACTCCACAATATGTTATTTTTACATCAATACGTAATGTAAACTTGAAAACTACAACTCTGCATCTACTGTAAAATGAATTATAAAGCAGATCTCTCGGATGAAAACGTTTAGTTTGTTCTGTTGGAACAAGAACATAAAACAAAACAAAAGTTGGTTGTCTTAGAAAGTGAATTTTGAACCACAACCAGGGGACCAGTGTAACATTTAATTTTATCCTAAACGCAATACGAAACAAGATTGGCAAGAAGCTGTAATTTTCATAATTGTCATTATTGTAATAACACAAAATATCTCTATTCAAATATTCTCGCCATAATTCACATCTGTATATTTTGGTCTGTGTGAAAAAGCAATATTAATGAATTATTTAGGTGACAAGAAGCGCAGTCATTTAAACAAGAAACAACTTTATGTAGCAAGGAGATCACGACCGTTATTGCTACCTTGACGTGGTGGCTGAGCTTGCCTATCGTGATGAAGCAACCGAGCTATACTGGCTGGAACAACCGTTCCTCAAAGTCCTACCATGTCAGACAGGTCGGTTGAAGAGCGGTAAGACTAAAGGCAACAAACCCAAGGTCCGAAGGCGAGGTCGTACTGCTGACTGTACAGAGGTGTGACAGCAGTAAGGTGTTTCTTTCAGACAACAAGCATGACAGCGATGCTGCCTTCCCACAAGGAGTGGTGGGTTAGAAAAGGTCGACTCTAAAAATGCACACCTTGCCTTATCCCACGGATATCCGTCTCCGGCGGTAAGGTCTCAACAAGTACGGAGCTAACACAAAAACTACTCATAAAAAGGTCGTGTGTGACTGACCTCAAGCATCTGTCCCTTGAGCACTGCGGTCACTCTCTCAGGTCACTAAGACCGCCTCTAACCCAATTTCCTTTTCAGGTACCTCCAGAAGAACCCCTCCACTGTGTGGACAACCAGGAAGTGATAACTGCCCTCATACCTCTAACAACACTCAAGATCACTGTATTCATAATCAATCTCCCACTTCAATTCCTATTATTCCCCCTACCTCGACTTTCACCTCTAAACTTCCTTTTTCGGCTTCCCCCTCAAGTGTCTCCATAGCCAACGATTCTAGTGCGCAAAACACTGTCCCAGGTCTACTAAAACCTCGCTCCAAACTACACATTGGAGCATTCAACGTACGCACTCTATGTGAAATCGGTCAACAGGATTCCTTGGCTAGAACCCTAGAATCCCGTACCATTGATGTATGCTGTGTCTCTGAAACACACATAGAGGATCCCAGTGTGGTCATTCACTTGACCTCACCTCGTCAAAACGGAGAGCCAGCGAGATACATCCTCCGTGTATCTGGTGACCCGATGGCCAGCTCTCGTGGACTGGCAGGTGTCGGCATAACACTAAGCATGAGGGCGGGACAAGTACTGTTAGAGTGGATCCCCGTTAACAGTCGTTTATGTGCTGTTCGGCTAAACGGCTCCGTGAAAACTCAGAAGGATAGGGACACACGTCGTTGCCTTTTTGTCGTTTCTTCCTACGCTCCCATCGACTGTAGCTCGGATGATGTGAAAGATGAATTTTACAGAAAGCTATCTGAACTTCTTCAGAAAGCTAAACGCTCAGACATAGTACACGTAGGGGGTGACTTTAATGTCCAGATAGGTAGTTTAAACCAAACAGAAAGGCATTTAGGTGGGTATTTTAGTATTCCGGCACAGCGAACAGATAATGGTGGTCGTCTGCTGCAGCTGTACTCAGACAATCGTTTATTTTTAGCAAACACAAATTTTAAGCATAAGGAGAGACATCGTCTGACATGGAGATCCCCTACACCAAACTAACGATGGACTCAGATAGACCATATTGCCATCAGTCATCTTTGGAGAGGATCGGTAGAAGATTGTCGCTCATTCTGGAGTACCTGTGCTTGGACTCCGACCACGCCCTAATACGGGCACGCATCTGCTTGCGCCTCAATTGACGCAAAAAAGCCACATTAAAAAGACACATTAGAAGTGAGTTGAGTAACGAGAAAACCAAAAATAGGTTCCAAGAACAACTGAGGTCACAATTAGGTAGTTCTGAAAACGAGGCTGACCCAGATGTTGCTTGGAAAGATATGCAAGCAGCTGTGGAAACAGCAGTGACATCTATTAGTGATTTAAACCAGAGTTACTAAGAACCAATGGATTTCTTCAAGGTCTATTGCACTGATGGACTCTCGTAAACTCATCCCATCAGGCTCTGAACACGATGAAGAGCGACAACAAATCAGATCTAGGTTAAGCAAAAGTCTAAGAAACCACCGTCAGTCAGTCAGTAACAACGTAGAACTTCGTACGTACGTACATCAGTTCGAGTTGCCACACCACCTTAGCACAGAGATGCAGTTATCGATTCAAATCCCGTAGTGGTAGAGGTAGCAAGAGTATAAGCAGTAATCGGGAAGATTAGTGTTTGGAGATGTTATTTAAAGAGTATAATACAGTGAAATAAATTTGGAAAGAGGAAAAAAAGGGACATGAAGAATTCAGAAGATTAGAATTTGGGAGAACACAAAGAGTGGATGCACCTGCGCCATTGCAAACGATTTTGAGCCATGTCATTCACAGTCTCTAACCATCGGTTGCTATCATCTCGTGATCCCCAACCAGGTAGTCTACACCTACCAACATGCCTCAGTCCACTTGTCAGTGACTTCATGGATTTGTGCCATGTTTTGGTTTGGCCGCCTCTAGCTTTCTTCCAACCTACTCCTATACCACTGAACATCACACGTCGAGGCAGCAGGTCGTTGGGCATACGTAACACGTGTCCCAGCCATCTCAACTGATGAAGTTTCACTACTTCATCAATTGATTTGCCATCCTTACCTAGTACCCGTTTCCCAACAACTGTGTTACTTAATCGATAGTCCCATGATATACGAGCAATGTTTCGAAGACACCTATGATCAAATACTAGTAACCTACGAATATCCTCTACTCTTACCGGCCATGTTTCACTGCCATAAAGTAGGACGGAACGAACTGCTGCACAGTAAACACGTCCTTTGGTTGATAGACGGATATCTCGCCTACGCCATAAATGACGCAAGTTGGCAAAAGCTAGTCGAGCCTTCTGTATCCGTGCTGAGATTTCGTCACACACCAGACCACAAGGGCTGATGAGACTTCCAAGATAAGTGAAGCGGTCGACACACTCAACTACTTCACTCCCTATCACTAGTTCGGGTGTCGATGTAACCCAATCCTGAAGCAACATTTTGCATTTCGAGGGAGAGAATCGCATCCCGAACATGCTTGCATTGTTGCTTAGAGTGGTCAGAAGACTCTGCATTTTGTCAGCGTCTTCACCAAATAAAACTATGTCATCTGCATATTCTAAGTCAACAAGTGAACCTCCCGGTACAAGTTCAACCCCTGGAAATTTAGATGAGGAGAGTGTTATCTCTAAAAGTACGTCGACCACAAAGTTGAACAAGAATGGGGAGAGTGGACAGCCCTGACGAACTCCACTTGAGATAATCAATTCTGATGACAGTTCGCCATAAGCTCTCACTCTACCAGTTGTGTTCGAGTAGAGAGCCTTTACAAGGTTAATGTACTTCTTTGGTACTCCTTTCAGTGACAAACACTGCCATAGAACCTCACGATCTACAGAGTCGAATGCCGCCTTAAGGTAGAGAAATACTACAATTGTGGGGCGTCTGAATTTGTGTCTGTGTTCTAGAACCTGACGTAGTGTGAATATCTGATCTATACAACTACGTCCAGGTCGAAAACCGGCCTGGTTTTCTCTAATCTGTTCTTCACGAGCTTTGATTAGGCGCCGAAGTATTATTGAAGCTAATATTTTAGACAGTATATTAGTCAAACTGATTCCTCTGTGATTGTCACAAGAGGACTTTTGTCCTTTCTTATAGACTGGCACAATCAGTGATTGAGACCAGTCAGATGGGATTACGTCCAGTTCCCAAATTCTACCTACGACCTCGGTTAATCTCATTGCTAATACTGAACCCCCATCCTTAAAAATCTCAGGAGTAAACCTGTCAGGGCCTGCTGCTCTCCCTCGTTTCAGATTTCCTATGGCTTTTTCAACTTCGTAAAGGGACGGAGGACCTACATTAACTTGCCATTCAGGTTGACTAGAGATCGTGGGAAACCGAAGTGTGGCTGAAGGCCAGTTGAACTGATCCCTAAAGTGTTCTGCCCATCGATCCAATCTCCTGGATTGAGAATGAATAATATGTCCATCTTTCTCTGAGATTGTTTCGCTAACGGTCGGGTTCCTAATTCCGGTTTCCTTAACGAGTCTGAACAATTGTCTGCTATTACCTATTGCCGCTGCCTTTTCCATCTCTCTTGCTTTCGCCACCCACCACTGTCCGCGATCATTGCGTAGACTTCTTGTCAGCTTGCGCTTAAGCTGACTCCGCTTTTCATTATGTTCAGAGCCAGGTGGAATGAGTTTCTGAGCATCTATCAGTGAGATAGATGCTGCTGAGATCCAGTGTTGCTCCCTAACTTTCTGGTTTACCTTACTAGCAGATATCACTGCTGTTTCCACAGCTTTTCGGATATCATTCCATGCTGCATCGGGGTGGGCATCACATACATGGCTGCCTAACTGTTTTCCTAGTTGTTCCTGAAATATACTCTTAGCTTGACTATCATTAAGTAGGCCCCTAAGAGGTTTCCTTGCAGCGTCTTTCCTACGTCCAGTAAGACGCAAACAAACACGCGCTCGCACTAGAGCATGATCTGAATCTAGGCATGTGCTCCAGAATGAGCGACAGTCTTCTATCGAGCCCCTCCATCGGTGGCTGATAGCGATGTGATCTATTTGGGTCTAACGTTGGGACGAATTAGGGGGTCGCCATGTTAAAAGATGTTTTTCCTTATGCTTAAAGTTAGTATTTGCAAGGAACAGGCGGTTATCTGAGCATAGCTGCAACAGACGGTCGCCATTATCTGTTCTTTGAGCCACGACACCATAAGATCAACCTAGGTGTCTTTCCCTATCGCTTAGTTTACCTACTTGAGCATTAAAGTCACCGGCCACTATTACTACATCCGAGCGCTTAGCTTTTCGGAGACGATCGGAGAGCTTTCTGTAAAACTCATCTTTTACATCATCTGAGCTGCAGTCAGTGGGAGAATAGGCAGAGACGACGAAGAGGCAACGACGAGTGTCCTTATCTTTCCGGATTCTTACTGTTCCGTTCAGTCGGACAGCGCACAAACGACTGTCTACTGGGATCCAGTCTAAAAGAGCTAGTTCTGCCCTAGGACTCAATGCTATACCTACGCCGGCGAGGTCACGGGAAGCAGAATCAGGGCTTCCAGATACACGAAGCGTAAATCGAGTCGGTTCTTTATTTTGGCATGGTGAGGTCAAATGAATGACGCTACTTGGATCCTGTATGCGCGTTTCGGAAACGCAGCACACATCGATGGCGCGAGATTCTAAAGTTTTAGCTAAGGAAGCCTGCTGTCCTATTTGGCAAAGTGTTCGTACGTTAAAAGCTCCTACGTGTAGTTTAGAGCGTGGTTTCAGGAGACCAGGAATGGCGTTCCACGTACTCAAATCGTTTGCCCTAGCGGTGCGAGGTGATGAAGAGACGTGGGGAGGGTTAGACGGGGGCATAAGAGAGGTATTAGAAGGTGTAGGAAGGATTTGAATGTGACCACCTTGGTCTCTTGTGCTGTTGCGCGTATGAGGGCTGATGTCACTTCCCGGCTGCCCACACCGTGGAAGGGTATTTCTTGAAGAACCTGAAAAGGAAATTGGATTAGAAGTGGTCTCAGTGACCTGAGAGCGTGACCGCAGAGCCCAAGGGACAACTGCTTGAGGCCGGTCGCGCACGGCCTTTTCGTGGGAGGTTTTTAATAAGTTAGCTCCGTTCTTCAAAGGGCCTTACCGCCGGAGACGGAAATCCGTGAGGTAAGGTGAGGTGTGACATTTTCAGGGTCGAACTTTTCTAACCCCACCCCTCCTTGTGGGAAGGCAGCATCGCTGTCAAGCTGGATGTCCGAGGGAAACACCTTACTGCTGTCACACCCCTCTACAGTCAGCAGTAGGACTTCGCCCTCAGACCTTGAGTTGCTGCTTTTAGTCTTACCGTTCACCAATCGACCTGCCTGGCATGGTAGAACCTGCAGGAACATATGTTCCAGCCAATATAGCTCGGTTGGGTCATCACGATAGGCAAGCCCGACCACCGCGTCAAGGTAGCAGCTTCGATCGGGAAGAAACCACCGTGAGCAGTGGTGGGCAACGAAAGCAAAAGAGATGGAAAAGGCGGTAGCTATAAGGAACACAAGACAGCTCTAAAGACTAATAAAAGAAACTGAAATTAATAAGTCAAGTGTAAGTCAGACCTCAAGTGGTGTCCGTCAAGGCTGTCCACTTCCTCCATTTTCGTTCAACTTCATCATAGACCTACTGCTGGAAACAACGATTGTAGAATCTGGATGACATTACTCAGAATCGATCACAATGGCTTTGGTGTATACACTCCCTGTCTTCCCTTAAACTAAGGTATTAAAATCGCTTCATATCTTTCTTTCTACATACTAATTCTTTCTTCCTGTACTATATCCTTATATGCAATCTTTCTTTTATATATTACCACCACTGACTTAACTACTCCTATGAATCCGGTGTTCATCTTCTGCTAATGCGGTATGGACCGATGCATATATGTGCCTGGTCCTACGTTGTAGCTGAGTGACTGACTGACCAAAGAGATCACTTTTGGATGATTTTATTCTCAGAGACATAAAATCTCTGAAGACAGACCTCTTCCATGAACCACGTTCATGTTCTCATCATTCAGCTACTTATTTCTAAGTAGTACAAAACACAATTAAAATAACAGAATTATATTGACCAGTATGTGGTAACTATGGAAAACATTCAATCCAGAAGTGAAAAACTCTAGATTTACATAATTCAAGAGTACAGACGAATTATATGACAACAGATTCCAACTTTGTACACAGGCTTCTATTATGCCTGGTAGAATAATGAAACCACAGACCAATATTTCTAATCAATTATGAGTGGATTTTCTACAGTTTTACGAAGTATACATATTCCAATAACAATGGAAGCACATACACACATAAATATTAATTTAAAAGCAGAATTCGTTGACTAGATGAGTTTCAAGCCTAGAAAGGGACTTACTGATCTAAATAGTGAGATTTTCCAATATTAGTAGATAAATCTAGCAAAAATACTTGCCACAACTACCATCAAATCAAAAACAGTAAATTATCATGATTAGATGAGGAAAAATAGGAGGAAATAATACGCAAAAAATTAAGTCAATGAAACCTACATACACTACTTACGAACATAACTTTTAAGTATAATGGTATTTCGAAAAAGACACCGAAATGTTCTATAGTGTTTATGTTTTCAGCTCAATTCCGAAAGCTCTATTCACCTTGTTGATCTATTTTTTCTGCAATAGTACGAATGTACATGTGTGCAGTAAGCTGAATCGATTGTTGGTTGTGCTAAATGCTCCTGGTCAACATGTTAGGAACACAAACCTTATAACAATCCACTAGGTAATTTTATAGAACTTCTAGAAAAAGTTTGAAAAACTAAAAATATTTAAATATAAATTTATTATCAGTTTGGGGTTGTGGAGATTGTTAAGTTTTTGATTGAGATCATGAATAGGTCGACATGCTAACTAGTGACTAGCTCCATGAGGGGATTTTCGAAGTCCTAGTGACAAGCCGTGACCAGTGGAGCTAATCCGTGCCAGGTAGAGACACATATCTAACTCAGATAATGGGTGAATGATTTCATAAGGTCATGGACCGATTGAAGTTAGGAATTAACACTGTTGGATGCTGGCTCAGTGGTTTAGAGATTAAGGGTTCGCGCTCGAAACCAAAGGTCCTGAATTCGGATCCCACGTGCGAGGTTGCAGGTACGCACTGCTGAGGAGTCCCATGCTAGGACGAAACAGCCGTCTAGTGTTCCCAGATTTTCAATGGTGGTCTAACATCGATCAATTTATGATCTCAATCAAAAACAAATTTATAAATTGTAATAACTTAAACTGACCTGTGAAATTGGTGTGACAATAAGTTGATCCATACCAGATTTACTACTGTACACTTTTTGTTTTACAAAACCTGGATCAATAACATAATAAATTCCATCAATTGTTAAAGATGTTTCAGCAATATTTGTAGCAATCACTACTTTACGGGAGCCTGGAGGTGCAGGATCAAAAATTCTCGATTGCATTTCAGATGGTAAAGCTGCATAAACTGGTAAAATGATTAATTCAGGTACTTCAGAGCCTAAAGCTTTCATACGTTCATAAAGAAGTTCACAACCAGAGTCGATTTCTTCTTGACCAGTTAAAAATACTAATATATCTCCTTAAAAAATGAAGGTAATTATAGATTTAAATTAAATAGCATAAAAAGGACATAATATATGTGAGAAAGTATTAAAAATGTATTATTATGTACAACAATAACTGAATAATAGTAAGAACTATGATTCATAGGTGTATTATCATACTATTCAGTGAGATTCTAAATTTAACTGATTTCTGATACACATCATCACCATCATTACACGAAGTCAGACTATTATCTTAAAGGAATTTTGGTGAATATGCTGACAACAGTCATAATAGGATGAGACAATGTTGGAATAAGACGTTGACTCGAATAAACACTTGAAATGTTTTCTAACAAATCAAGTCAGTCAGTTACAACGTAGGACCAGGCACATATATGCATCGGTTCAAGTTGCCATACCTCATTAGCACAGCAAGACGAACACCGGATTCATAAGAGCAGTTACCTCAATGGTGTAATATGTTTCCTAACAAATCAAGTGACGATATTTAAATAGATAAACAATAGTTTACTGACTTGACCAATATGTAATAATACTAATATTAGAGTGTTTATAACATTGATTATTAGTTAACTGCAATAAGCTAACACACATGGGAGTTTATACATAAAAAGTTAGATTTAGAACAAAATGATGTGCTGAGATCATTTGAGCATTTGTATATTCAACAGATTCCTTATGACCGGAAATCTCATTTTCAACTCAAAACAATGCTTAAACAGAAACTAGAGTCAATAGAAAGGTACCCGTATGAATAGTAACAATGAAACTTAGAACTAGATAAAAAGTAATTTGACATTTTTCTATCATAAGAATCAGTTTATAAACAGTAACTATATTTTCAGTCACACAGACCAAGGCGACTACTACTACTCTATATTTTATGCTTAATATTCGATTGTTGATCGATTACGATAGATAGATTTGTTATTGTAATTCTGAAAAGTTGTACAAAGTTTAAATGGCTTTTGAAAAATCTAATTATACATTTGATCAGCATGTATTCCAGCCTATAAACAGCATATCAACTTCAAAAGTATTACAGATAATCGAAAACTGACATTACCATTATTATTTTTAAAAACATTAACAAACTACTTGCAATTGACTAGTAGCTAAAAAATAAAAATTGTAGCTAATCAAATTAATAAATAACAGGGTTCTATATACTAAAATGAAATTTTACTACAATACTACAACATATTCAAATAATTCACGATCATTTTTTAAACTGAGTAGTGTTAAATGTATGAATTCAGTACATAAAACGCCTGTCCGAACTGTTTTCAATTATACAAGCAAAGAAAAAAACATAAATTCCTCATGAAAATAAACTTCGGTTAGCAATAGGCTGTAAAACAAAGAAATAATTTAAGGTTTTAATAATAATGTTTGAATAGTTTCATGCAATATTAAGTGTCAATGAATCTATTGATTCAACTGGATTAAACGGGTATATACATGTATGTATCATACTGCTGTGTACAAAGTAAAAAGATCAAATACCTGGAGGTTCAGTTAAATGAATTTGCATAACTGTATTGAGTGCAGCGTCTAGATAATCATTTTCTGGTTCTAAACTATACAATATTTCAACAGGATATGTACGACCAGGTATAGTGAATATAGGCTAAATAAATATTTTAATAGAGAAAGAAAACAAAGGATCATTTGCAATAAATAATAATAGTCAATGAGCTAATCAATAGTCTTCAGCAATTTGTAAAACTAGAGTAATTTAAATATTGAGAATATTTATATCTTAACTGTCAGGCTACGAATTAGAACCTTTCTACTTACTATAATTTAACTAACCAGTTAATATTATTACTATCCTTCATATAATATGCATAGATGAGTATATGAAAATGTATTTGGTTTGTGTAGTCAATGATTATTTTTAGCCAACTTAAGCAAATATTTACAAAATTAACAATCCAAGTTCGTCTATTAATTCAGTTTATTTTATACGTATGATGAATGCTTACACCTAGTGATTTAGAGATAACCTACTAACCATTGTAAAAGAAACACTAGTCGAAGTATAAACATGCTAGAAAGTAAAAAATGGTAGGAACACAAAGGTCTCATAGGGTTCATTTACACTGGGATTACTATCAACTGGTCTAATCACACTCACGAAAGGTTCTGTCAGGAAACAACCTTAATGAACTGTTATATATTAGCAAGAAAGTGGTGAATTGATGGTTTAAAACTACTTTAAATACGCTTGTCTTACTAACTGTCAAGTATTACAAGCCCAAAGAGACATAATACATAAATTAGCACATAATTATATAGTTCATAAGTGAGTATGTGAGTATGTAGTTTACCCAACTACAACTAACAGCTTACAATGTTATCTTTGTACATGAGCCTATGTCTAGTTAGTGAACTGTTTAAAATGGTGTGCTATAAGAGTAAAACACCTGTTATACATTTAGACGTGTTGACAGAAAGGTACAGTCAAATATCTATTATATTGAATCGTTTTCTTACTATAAACTAATCTATTTAACACTAAGTAATTATTTTACTCAATGTTATCGGAATAGAGGATCTTGGTTTTATTATTTACTAGAATCAAGATCAAGTCAGGGCACGTTGATTTGTCTGTTTCCAACCAATCAACGCGAAGGGATGGGTTGAGAAGACATTAAGAGTCTTCTGTAAATTTTATATAAGAGCCAATGATTTTTTCTATTACTATCCTCTATTGCTTTAATTTTAGGAAGATGTTTTCATTCACTTCCAATTTATGTTCTAATTTTGAGACCAATGAAGTGAAGAATTGAATCTAAGGAATACTAAGTAGTAGAGTTATAGTGAATGAGAACACGATTGGGGACAATCGAACGTATTTGAACACAAACTTACAGAACATTTTAGTAAAATATGAGGACCATACAGTAAAAACTTCACTTGCAAAATGTCATTCAACTGTCTCAAACTTGACTGTTCCTTTTGCAAATATCATTCAGTCGTCTCAGACTTCATTGTTCCTACATTTACATACCAAATGCTTTCTGTTCCCGTTCTTTCCCCCTCGATCTTCATGGCCTTCTGATGCCAGACATTCTATTCCTGACTAGCGTTATATACTACTTATGTCGATATAAGTAGCACACCACAGAATTACGACACTTAATTACAGCCTTAAGCATTTATCATTCGAGCGTTGGTCGTATTACACTTGTAATATAAATTATCACGTATAGACACTATTATTCAGTTGATATGAGTTATTTATTAACTAATTATACTGTTCAAAATATTTCATGAATTCATAGTCACACAAAGATATTTTAAGCATTGTATTGTGTTTTACAATAAGTTCATTAAATTAACAACTAACTTAATATGTTTATTTATTTTTATTTTATTTCAACACATAGATATTCGTACAAAGAGGCACAAATACATATGCGCCACACAAATCTCATTTGATATGTGTGAGGGCTGTGATACTGCCCGGGTGCACAAACCGAAGCACGTGGTTTTCTTAGGGGGCCACTCCCCGAGCCTTCGACCTGAAGGTCTGATCCACAAGCGAGTGGAGCATCGTGAGGATATGCAGTCCCATGGTAGCCGGTGACCAACGATTGGTACATACGCCATTTGTTCCTTCAGGATACTAGAGCCCATGTGCACCATTGGTTTGGAATCCGGTTAAAGCGCCGGACACTCCCTTTTCGTCCTCTCATTTTCGTAAACAACACCCCCGCCACGAGAGGGCAGTGAGTAGGTTTCCCCGGAAGAGACTATATACGCGTGGCCATGTGAGAGCATTTCGAGAGGGAGGGAGGACTCTCCCCACTCTCGGCCGTACCAGGGCATTTGGGGGCAACTTAATATGTATTCAAATATTTGATAATCAAACAGCTCAAATGTTATTTATAAGTCATTATCATCATTAAGATTATTTTACAGATCAACTGAATATAAATAAATCAAAAAATTTCCTCAAGTGATAAATAATTTTGGAAACCGAGTCTCAAACTTATATGGATATATTAATATGTCTACACTTTTAGTCCATTCGCACATAAAGTGTACATCTTCTCTTCACTAAGAACTATGCATTACCTGATAAATTCATGGATATTAGAAGTATATGTGATAGTATCAGATAATCAAATTCATGAATCGTTTTCAAGCTTATTTACATGTTCAGATTTCATTGAAGATAAAATTTACGACCCACTGTTTTATATCCTAGTATTGTTGAATAAGTTATCTTTTTAATAGTTAGATTCATGGGTCAACCTAAGCTAGAACACCATTGAAAACCTGGAAGCGCTGGACAACTGTTTCGTCCTAGCGTGGGACTCCTCAGCAGTGCACATCAACGATCCCGCGTGCGGGATCTGAACCCAAGATCTCCGATCTCGAGCGCGGACGCTTAACCTCTAGACCACTGAAACGGCATCTAACAGTGTTAATGTTTAACTCCAACCGATCCATGATCCTGAGGTGGATACCTGTCTCCATCCAACACGGTCGTTCTGTGCTTCCAGGTTTTCAATGGTGGTTTAGCATAGATCGACCCATGAATTCAACTATTAAGAAAATTTACTACAATCTCCACAAACCTACATTCTGACATATTGGTTATTGTAGCAAGTTATTACATCGAATACCCCCAAATGCCTTGGTATGGTAGGGAATGGGGAGAGTTCGTTCTCCCTCTCGAAACTCTCTAATATGGTCACGAGTATATATCCACCTCCAAGGAAATCCTACTCACTACCTTCTTGGAGAGAAGATGTTGTTTACGAGATTGAGAAGACAAAAGGCGAATGTTTGGCGACTAAACCAGATTGGTAGGTAAGGAGGACCCGCCTAAGGGAGCTGGAAAACTCTCATTCCAAACCAATGGTGCACATGGGCTCCAGGATCCTGAATAAACAAATGACGTATGAACCTATTGTTGGTCACCGGCTACCATGGGACTGCATCTCTTTACGTTGCCCCACTGCCTTGTGGATTAGATCTCTAGGTCAAAGGCTCGAGGAGTAGCCTCCTTAGAAAACCACCTGATTCAGGTTGGGCAACCAGGCGGAATCCCAGCCGTTACACAATTTTGCGTGGTGCATATATATTTTGGTGCCCCTTTGTACCAATGTTTTTGTGTCTAACTAACTAAATCATACTAAAAAGAAACAAACTCAATTTAAAATATTCTAGGATAAAGTGTGGTTTGATTGGTCAAAACTTAATCAAACAAATGCAAGTGATAATCAAGTAAACACTGAACAAAACACAATTTGCTTAACTGCATTTATTTAGCTTTCAATGTCGTTCGATTCAGCACTTGTGAGTGCTATTATTTCACTGAATGTTGTACTGCTTCAAAATTACCTTTGATACAGTAGTTTCATCAAGAAATCAAGAAGGTATTAGAGTTACGCACACGTAACAATAACTGCGTTAAGGCAATCAATTACCATATAAATGACATGAGGTTACGTTATCACTTTCAATCGTGTATTAGTTATCCATGCATAAATTCTCATAGATTAGTGTCTTGAAAAAATGATTTGAATCAAAATAAATTTAGTGCCTTAACACTTACAGCTTCAAAAAAGTACTGAGAAAATTTGACTGAATCAAGAGTAGCTGAAGTGACAATTAACTTCATATCATCTCGTTTTTGAATAGCTTTTTTCAATAAACCAAATAATACATCTGTATGTATTGTTCGTTCATGTGCTTCATCCAACATAATTACTGAATATTGGCGTAAATCCGGATCAATAAGGCATTCACGTAACAGCATACCATCTGTCATGTATTTGATTTTTGTCTCTGGTGCAGTACAATCTTCAAAACGTATTGTATAACCAACTTCTTGCCCTAGACGACAACCAAATTCTTCAGATACCTAGAAAAATAGAAAAGAGTGAATGTTGTGTAAAATATGGCGGATGGACAAAGACAATTAAATCAATAAATCCTTCTTTGCAAAATAAAACATCTATGAAAGTTTGTTTCATGTAACTATAGAATAGAGCAGAGCAGGGTAGAGGAAAGTAAAGTAACATAAAACAGAGATGTGTCATCCGATTCGAGCACCTACAACGTAGTAACATCATGTTGTAAACAAATATCAACGATAAAAACGGAAACTTTAGAAAGACGGAAATGAATAATCGGAAATGATATTTATATATTATGAAGAAAAATCGATAGTGAAGGTACCGTTGACCAACATTTCAAGTTAATGATTTGAATTCGCTTAAAAATTTCAAAAAAACTTAGTTTACCAAACAAAAGATTTCGTTTTTACGCTATTTTTCCTTCCAAATACCAAAAACAACTTTTAAAACCGACTATGAAATCAACAACATTGGACATTGACGTAAACGGTAATTAAAGATACAAGAAAAAATCATAATAAGTTTAGTTAACAAAAGTTTACAACTAGACTAAAATTATATGCTGAACATCTTGTATCGAACTTCCACAATGTTTGTTTTATAATCCAATTTTAGTCAGTAATATTGGGATATTATTAGTGTTTAAATGAATGTAATGTTCCTTATGAACTGATGTCTAAGAGCTCAATTCTTTACTACTAGGATAAAGATTCTTACTAAATCTAAACATTCAATTCTACCCAGACCATATAACTCAATATGTTATACATCAACATTTATAGCAAATAAATCTGTATTGAATAACATAAATACAACTCGCTAACCAAATATAAGTTCATGTAATAGGTTTTTAAGCACACTTCTTTATGTTTAAGCTCTAGTAGTATTACCATCTGTCTGTGTTGGGCTAGGTACAGTATGGTTCGAACTTGCAAAAAAAAACTTAAAGTAAATCATACTAAATGAACAAGAAACTGGAAAACGTACTCGTTTAGCTACAGACATAGCTGCTACTCGACGTGGTTGAGTGCATCCAATGCGACCAGTGTTGACATAACCTGCTTCAGCTAGATATTGTGTTATTTGGGTAGTCTTCCCACTACCAGTTTCTCCAATAACAATCAATACTTTATTATCATTCACTGCCTGTATTTATTAAAAGAAAAACATCACATTATTGATTGCGTGCAAACGATATGAATATGTAACATTAAAATTAAGGAAGCAATTTCGGGACAAAATTTCATGAATAAGTTCAGTACTAATTATTCAATAAAAATGTAATATTATCGCCTCACAGTTGTTTAATAAGTCATAATTAATGGTACTAGAGGAAAAATACTTAAACTCGAGGTATTGAACAGCTAACTAGTCCCTATTTTATCCCGAACGTAGAAAACAAATTACTCAATAAGATTAATAAAGCTGCATAGGTAGTATACAATACGCACATTACTTCAGCTATTGGCTCAGTCAAAAGCCGAAAAACTGGAAAGTTCTACCTATAATCAAACAATGTTTTTATGCATTTTTTGTCCATCTGAAAGACTGAACAAACTACAGTTTCCTAACTAAAACTTATGGAAAAACAATGTATTCCCTAAGTAAGTTACGAAAAATAGTGATTACCTCTATATTATTCATTAACCATTCGCTTGAATGAGATGAGTTACAATTAAAAATACGTAAGAATGAAAATGAAGTTCATTTTATGCTACTATAATTTAGCATATGACGTGAATATGAATTTGAGAATTCATTCCGACAGTCATAACCAAATATGCATTAAAGTCTGCTGAATTTGTAATTGCATGTGTTTGTAAAAATACGCAAACGGAAAAAGACTAATTTTGTATCAATTACAAATTTATTTATTTTTATAGAAAGAAAATAATAATAAAACTTATAATAAGCATTCAGAGAACAGTTCTGAGATCAACATCAAATTTTTATGGCTTTGTGAATGCCTTGTTATAAGGTTCAAATAATTTCATCTCCACCAATTACACTGACACCCATAAATTTTCTGGTTCAGTATTACGTATTCTATATTTTAAATCACGGGCTGACCTTAGTTAGATAGTCACCGTAAACCGTGAAGCACTGGGTAGCTCTTTCGTCCTAGCATGGGAATCCTCAGCAGTGCATATCCATGATCCCTATCAGGGATCGAATCCAGGGCTTTTACGTTTCACGTTGAGTGCCTAACCTTTAGACTATTGAGTCGGCGTCTAATTCGTTACTTTTCTAGCTTTAATCAGTTCGTAATATTCAACAACCACATTTCAGTGTCATTGGTGGGTGAACTCCACTGGTTACAGTTCCTCATTGAAGCTCCTGAAATTGCTCAAAATTAGCCACTAATAAGCAAATAATTATCAGTATTATATGAGGGGCTTGCGAATGTGAACTATAAAATTCTATCTTTACGAATTCCCTACACTCCTACATATTTATTTGGTCTTTTCTGAATAAAATTACATTCACTTGTCATATCTTGTCAAGTATTGAAGGCACTTAGAACGATTTATTTACACAACACTTGGCACTTAACAGCTAACAAATAAGATTGAGTACCTGTTTAATTCGATCGGCATAATGGTATTGAAACTTGGGAAACTAACCTTCATTAGCTCATCTTTTAGTCTGAATATGGGTAAGGCTTGACGCTGTTCAAGAATAGATCGTACAATCTTTTTACCAACAGCTCCAGTTCTTGTACCCCCTTGAACAGCACGTTTCCATTCCGGTACATCTTTAAACTGGTCAGTTGAACGTGAACCTGAAAACTGTGGTTCATTGTCCACTGAAATATATCAGATACATAGAATAATGTGATACAAAAAGATGTCGCAAGTATGTTATCAAAATGTTTACATTTGACTAATAACAAGTATTAATATGAATGCAGTAAAATCAGAATTCGTCAAATGTAATTGATTATAATTTATACTCCGATGAAATTGAAGAATTATAATTATAAAATTTATATGACCGAGTGAAATGATTTTATAATAAGCATATCATGCACTGATGAAACGCAAACCAGCAACAAAGACGACTGCTTCTTCGAGTACCTTTTGCCTCACTGAGCAGTAGTAGTATCAAGAGATAACACCTGAATTGTGACCGCGAATATTTTTTTATTTAATAAACAATTAACTCCTATGATATATCTTTAAACAACTTAAACCCCAAAGATAATAAATTGTCCGATAAAATTATTCGAAAATAGTAACGGAAAGAATCAAACTCGGAAGTACATAAATTTCTACCTCATTGTCCAACAGCCTAGAATGGGGATCTTTAATTTAGCTAGATCTTATTGTTTCCCTGTCCTGACAAAGTCATGTGGGCTTTTTTTAGAGTCGATCTAAAAAATCATAATAAGTCCAAAAATAAAGATCTAATGGTAGACAAGGATTAAATTCATCTGCTGCATTGTAACCAACACTGAGCTACATAAAATTCAGTAAAGAAATAATTGCATCCTAAAAAGAAATTACTTACAAGTAAACCCCATTGGATCATGCCAATCTTTACCCATCCGTTCAGGAGCAGTCTCTCGTTCAGCTGTTACTTGGTTTTGTCTTTCTTGTTGTTTCATTTCACGTCTTTCCTTTTGTAGAGCTTGTCTCATCATGGCAGCTTGTTGCAATGATCCGTCTGGATTCTTGACTATTCTAACTGGAGACAAATCCATCGCATGTCGACCATGACCCTGGAAAGTATGATTAATATAAAATTAATAAACATAATATTAAACTGAAATATAAAAACTACTTAGATATGAATCAAATAATTACATATATCTATGTCGACCTGTAACAATACTAATGGTAATAATATGCCCGTTGTAATAACAGAATATCTTATTTTACTATAAAAGTAAGCTATTTGAGAATAACTCTGATCAAGTGTTTATATCCATAGAGGATCGGAGAGTAGTGAACGTCATTTTCATCTGGTCCTTGAAAACATTGGTATCATATATTTATATCATATTTATTAAGGATCCTCAAGAATTTTATGGGGATTAGCAACCGGGCTGAAGATTCGAACTCTACTCCATCTATTTAGGTTTGGGTAACCATATAGTATTACTTACCTTTACATATAAAATGTGACTTGAAGAAAGACACAAATCTGTACTAGGTAACTAAGTTATACCAGTGATCAAATTACGAAAAGAAATCAAGACTATAAAGTCAATTGTTGATAATCTAAAGCAGTGTGTAAGAGGGACTGTAAGCCACCTAGTTTCTGTCCTTCAGATGGGAAAAATAAATAATTTTTGATGCCAGCTGATATGGATAAAATCATATTGCAAATTCTATACATTTTTCTACCCAACAATTATTCACCTTTTATTCTCACATCGTATCCAGTTAAATTTCATTTAAATAAAAAAGATTATATTGCTTTCTGTTGAAAAATAAATTTGACAAACTGAAAAACCACAACTGTTGATTATACTTCAATCAGTTATTATAATCGTCAAAAAAAGAGTTTATTGATTTGTAGACAAACCTTAAGAAATGGTGGTTCATCTTCAACAAGTTCGATTTCAATATCTTCGTCAGATTCTTCATCTTCACGTGGTAAAAGTCCAGTCTCTTCATCGAAATCAGGTAATTCTGTCTTTTCAATTACACCAGCTGACATCATTTGTTTTAATTCCCAGCGTTCTGGACTACTAATTCGTTGAACCTTTCTAAAAATATATAAATGTACACATTATCACCATATTATTATAGTTACTGAGAATAAAAAATAGTAAGTACACTGTACAAGTGGTTTATTCCAAACTAAAACTGATAACCTTATTAACAATAACAAAAACAACATTCATTAATAGAAAGAAATATCAAGCATACCGTTTGGGACCAGATTCAATGTCTTCCTCAAATCCCATTTCTTTGCGTCTACCGAAAAATCCTGGTCCAGAGTTAGCTGCAGGACGATCAGGATTCCGAACACCATCGATATCCTCTTCATCTACGAGACGTATTTTATCTTTATCTAACGATTCACTAGAATTATTGGATTTCTTCTCAGGTAAGCGTGAAGGATTCAAATCAGCACCCGTCTCTTGGTCCACCTCACGCATACTAAGACCAGTTCGAGTACCTGTGAACGAGATAACTTTTACCCAGACCTTCAAGAAAGAGAAGATTTTTAGTTAGAATACAGAATGAATCCATGTTCTTTTTGCAATAAGAACAATGAGGACAATATTGGACATACAACACTCAGTGAACGTAAAGCATGTCGTCAGGTGAGAAGGCTAATATACATGCAAAAGACATAACAAATCAGCAAGATGGTCTTTGACCAAGTGTTATGACAGAAAACGTTGAAACAGCCTGTAAGGTAAGCCTTTAATTAGTACTGGGTTTAGTACTAAATAATTTGGGAAGACTGTGACTCAGTAGTCCAAGGATTTGACTTTTAACTGCAAGGTTAGCTAGTTAAATAACGCTTTAACGAAACACTATCGACAATTCGTAAACAGTAAATGTGGTTCATAGTTTGGTATATAAACATATTAGTCACAGATTTGGATATTATCCCACAAAATGATTGCTAGAAGGTTGAATCAACTTGAGCAGTGTGAAAGTTACTGTCTGAAAAAAATAATTACCAACACGTGGTACAGTCGAAAAGTCTTCCAATGGTAACAGGACATCACAACTAAGTGTATTTTTTAGCAGGCCTTTATACTGCCATGGCTATTAAAATTAAACAAAAGATCTTGGGTTAGATTATGTATGGCGTTATAACAGTATACTATGCGGAATTCCACTGTTCTTTATCTCCTCATGATTTCAGAATAAATCTCAGTTCATGGTTAAGAATATCTCGAAATTAATAATATTGTTGATTTTGTCATCATTATTATTATTAATACCATAGTTTATAAGCAGAGTCAAAGAAGCACTAACTGTTAAGTCGAAAATGTATAAGTTACCTTTTGATTACGACTAACAACATCGCCAACGCTGGCTACACGACCTTCTTGACGTAGCTGAGAAATATGCACCAGACCTTCCCATCTCTTACGAAGTCCATCTAACTGAACAACAGCTCCAAATGCTAGCACATTTGTAACTCTACCACGATAGATATCGCCCACAATAGGTTCTGAAGGAAGATCTTTTAGTCGTTTACTTTCGTAATTTGGACTACTTGAACCATGAGAATACCTTTTAGGTGAAATATGATCAGCTCGTGGTCGGTCTCTATGATAAGACGATTTGTTAGCTGGAGAATGATCCTTAGATCGATGTCTGGAGGAGTGGGGCGACGGCGATCTGGATTCTTTCCCATGAGGTGATCTAGTATTTATAAATTAAAATGTAAGTGATAATACTTCCACTTCCAAACAAAATTCAAGTGGGTTTTACAATAAATAGAAATCACGTTAAAGCAAAGAAATATACAGAATAAGTGACGGATAAGATGTTTTTTGATTTTATTTACTCCTGATTCAAGAAGTCATATTGATTTTATGAAAAGACGGTTTAAACAGAATAGTTGAGGATCTCTTTGCAGAAATCAGATTGTTAGAATCTAAGGTCTTACTATTCTTGAAGTAAGATTAAAAGTAAAGAATTTAGGACCTCATCAATTTGGCGAACACGTAACAAAGGTTCATAGTTTATCGATAAGACGTAACTCACTTTCCATTTGAGTCAGTAGTTGGTAAAACAGAGAAACCAGATGAGAAATGTAAATCCTAAGAATGACAATAATAAGACTGGAACTAGTCAGCTGATCCTGCGAAATTGCATCAAAATGTCTTGATTGCCTACTTTATATAGATGTCTTCATAATTGGTATTTTCTAGAAACTAATAGTAATAGTTAAACTCACACATCAAATACCCAAAAAATGAGTGCAAAAGTTTACGACAGTGAACGAGTTTCACTGTCAGTTAAAAACTTTAGAAAAGTGGAGACAATGTGTAAGCTAAACACCTCAAATATCCACAATATGCAGTTGCTTAAATGACAGAATTTTTCACAGCAGTGCAATCAAATATTTATAATTGAAAATTATGGTGAAAACAATTCAACCAGCAGTTACCATATTCTGATTACAGTGTAAGAAAATGGGAATAAGGTTTACTGAAAAACCTGTCTAATAATCTGATATCATAATACGTAATATTTAGTGGATGATGAAAAATAACAATAGTAATAATAAACCGAAATCTTATTAAACAGGAAAATACATAAGACTGATAAGATCAGCTTTAAAGCTCCTCGGAAATCAAATACATAAAAAAAATAGTAAAACTATGAAAATAAATACCAGAAAAATAACTAACTCACCTGGACTTTTTACGATGACCACGATAATCACTAGATGCATCAGGATTTCTTTGATGAGCTCTTCGATTTGAATGTCGTGAACGATGAGGAGATTTAGAATGTGAACGACGAGCACTATTATTATAAAGAGAAGTACAAGTTAAGAATTGAACTTTTTTTATATACAGTAAATGATTAAAAGATTTATATGTAAAGTATAGCCATGAAACAGGAAATGAAAGTTTGAACAAATTTTTGATCGCGTCAACGAAAATTGAACAGAACTAGTTACCAACTTCAGTGGCCTCTAAAAAGAATTTCCTTCGGAAATAAATATCAGAAAAATCAGTATGCAAAATACCCTCCCAAATACTAATTATCCTGGCAGCAAGTACTTTTCTTCAAAAGCAAGGAAAAGCCTGTCAAAATAATTTAGTGCAACAAATCTCTTAATACTAGTCAGTGACTACATTCTAGGTTCCACTCCAGAGTTTGATAAAGCCCCCAACTGTCCTGGTACGGCCGAGAGTGGCGATAGTCAACTCCCCCTCTCGAAATGCTCTCACATGGCCACGAGTATACAGCCACTTCCAAGGTAGTCCTATTCACTGCCTTCTTGAAGAGGGGATGTTTACGAAATTGAGAAGACAAAAAGCGAATGTCTGGCGTTTTGACCGGATTGATGACAAAGGAGGACCCAATTAGAGGCGCTGAAAAACTCTCATTCCAAACCAATGATGCACATGGGCTCCAGGATCCTGAAGGAACAAAAGGAGTATGAACCTGGTGTCGTTTGCCGGTTACCATGAGACTGCATCTCCTTACGTTGCCCCACTGCCTTGTGGATTAGACCTGTAGGTCGGGGGCTCGAGGAGTAGCCACCTAAGGGAACCACCTGCTTCGATTTGGGCTGCCGGGCAGTACCCCAGACCCAACACAAACCATTTGATTTGTGTGGCGCATATATATTTGGTGCCTCCTTGTACCAACGTCAATATGTTTAAATATAATAAATCGAGTTTGATGGTACTGAAAAATCCGAGTCAAGCAGACACACTGAAATGATCGACAACATGAGGTAGTAGCTCTATGCTATGAACAATTAAACTGTTTTCAGCTTAAAGAATATATTGTACGACCAACACTCAGCACTGCAGAGTTAAAGTCTTCGATCGTGGATCTGAATGATGTAAATTCATTAGTTAGTTAGAGTCAACATAGAGGCATGTTCGAATTCATATAGGCGAACACTAGCTTTGCTAAAATTGTAGAATCCCATTATTACCGATCGAAAGTAAATACAACCAGATTAACCAAGGGTTTACATCAATCATCTCTAATCATTCAGAATCAGGTTTGCTAACTGTAACATTACAGATAGGAATATATAGAGTATATGACAGTCTTAAACTTGAGAGTATTAATTTCTAAATATGATATGCATTCGATAGTGAAACGCTCGAACATATGGTAATATCACATACTGGTTTGTGAGTCAAACTCCATCTTTCATCAACGAAAATTAAAAAGTTTGGTAAAAAAAGATATGGTTGAGATCATGAGTCAATTGAAGCTAGACTACCATTGAAAACCTGGAAGCAGTGGACGGCCGTTTCGTCCTATTGTGGGACTCCTCAGCAGTGCGCATCCACGACCTCATGATCTCAACTATTGAAATTACTATAATATCCATAAAACCCTTCTGACATGAATCAACATATACTCACTAGTGACTGGCTTCAAGAGGTATTTCCTGGAGTTCTAGTGAGAAGCAGTGGCCAGTGGAGTTCAACCGGGTCTGCTGTGAGATAGTAACTCACTGAAGACATTGGTGGATGTGTCGCTCAATTTCGTGGATTGGTTGGAGTTGGACATTAACACCGTTGAATGTCGACTCAGCGGACTAGTGGTTAAGCGCTCGAGCGCGAGACTGATAGGTCCTGGATTGGAATCTCGCAAGGCGATGTCGTGGATGCACACTGCTGAGGAGTCCCGCAATAGGACGAAACGGCCGTTCACTGCTTCCAGGTTTTTCGTGGTGGTCTAGATTCAATTCACTCATGATCTCAACCATTGTAATTACTATAATATCCACAAAACCCTTCTGATATAAAAAAAGATATGTTGAGTGAACCAGAACATTTATTAATGTATAAGTCCCAAAAATTCTGTAACAACCCATTCCGCAAAAAATGTTTTGACCAAGACAAGCAAACTCGAAAGGTATAACATCAAACAACCGATAGAAAATTAAGTATAAACGATGAAATTCCACAGAGAAGGCTCCAAGTAAAGTTTCACTTATATTAAAGACAACAAATCTCCATCATGAAAACTACGAAAGAATAGTCCCGGAATTCGATAAACAGTGCTAAATATATACTTTGTCCCTGCACTTCGAGCTTGAACTGCTAGAGGGAAAAAACATCAAGTATTTATACAAAATTGAGTACAATGTAACTATTTCACGGAGGAATAGAAACAACTTGTTGCCACGTAAGATCGAAAGACAAAGCAATGCAGTACGGGGTATATATCATACCATAGTTCTAAATATAATCTTACAATCTCACAATAACTTAAATTTTAATCGTTATTAAGAATATCAAATGAACTCAAATTAGGACACAAATATCGGATCTAAAGAAATAATTGAATTCTTTACATTTAGAAATCAGCCCCAATGTATATAAATTATTCAACTACTTAGCACCATGTACTAAAATCAGCTCTCTAGAGTATGGAACAAATATCTAAATCAGATTTAATGGAAGATATTATAGGAATAATTATGCTACTTAGTTGAAGCAGTGCATATGTTGACTCGTAAGTTGCTAGTATTTGATCACAGATGTGTTAGAAATATTGGTCGCATCTGCTGGGATCACCGGGTAAGTAATGGTGAGGTTAGACGCAGGGTACTAGGGAATGATAGTAAATCAATTGATGAGGTTGTGAATCTTCATCGACTAAGATGGTTGGATCACGTGTAAGTGTAAGTGAGACTATTTCGGAAAAAGACGATACTCTCATCTGCTCCCAGTCCAGACGTTTAGAACGATGGGCGGAACATTTCAGAGAACAGTTCAACTGGCCTTCAGCGACTCTACAACTACCCTCCATTCCCAGACAGTGTGAATGGAACATTGAAGTAGGTCCTCCAACTCTAGCAGAAGTTCAAAAGGCTATAGCTAATCTGAAACGAGGAAGAGCAGCTGGTCCAGATGGATTGGCTCCAGAAGTCTTTAAGGATGGTGGTCCAATTTTAGCGATTAGGTTGACTAATATTTCAAATAAGATCTGGCAGTTAGACGTTATTCCATCTGACTGGTCACAATCACTTATCGTCCCAATATATAAGAGGGTCAAAATCATCATGTGACAACCACAGAGTGATTAGTTTAACTAATATAATATCTAAAATACTAGCCTCGATAATTATCAGACGCCTAACTAAGACTCGTGAACTGCAAACACGAGAGAACCAAGCTGGCTTTAGACCTGGTCGTGACTGCATCGACCACATATTCACCATTCGTCAGGTTCTAGAACACAGGCATACTTATCGACGTCCGACAATGGTGGTCTTTCTTGACTTAAAAGCAGCATTTGACTAGGTAGACCGCGAGATTCTGTGGCAGTGTCTGTCATTGAAAGGCGAACCCCAGAAGTACATAAACCTTGAGAAGGCTCTTTACACGAACACTACTAGTCGAGTCAGAGCTTATGGAGAACTGTCATCTACTTTTGCAACATCAAGTGGTGTCCGTCAAGGCTGTCCACTTTCCCCATTTTTGTTTAACTTCATCATAGATCTACTGATGGAAATAACTTTCTCGTCGACTGAATTCTCGGGTAATGATCTCCATCCAGGAGGTCCACTTATCGACTTAGAATACGCAGATGACATAGTCCTGTTCGGAGAAGATGCTGACAAAATGCAGAGTCTTTTCGTAGCACTAAGCAACAATGCCAGAATGTTTGGAATACGCTTCTCTCCCTCTAAATGCAAGTTGTTGCTTCAGGACTGGTCTGTCTCAACACCTGAACTAAGGATAGGGAGTGAAGTAGTCGAACGCGTCGACAACTTCACTTATCTTGGAAGTCTGATCAGCCTTAATGGGCTGGTATCGGACGAAATCTCAGCACGGATTCGAAAAGCTCGTTTGGCTTTTGCCAACTTGCGTCACCTTTGGCGAAGGCGAGATATCCGTCTATCAATAAAAGGACGAGTATACTGCGCGGCAGTCCGTTCTGTTTTACTTTACGGCAGCGAAACATGGCCTTTAAGAGTAGAAGACACTCGTAAGCTACTAGTATTTGACCACAGATGCCTTAGAAATATTGCTGGCGTCTGCTGGGATCACCGGGTAAGTAATAGTGAGGTTAGACGCAAGGTATTAGGGAATGATGGTAAACCAGTTGATGAGGTTGTGAATCTTCATCGACTGAGATCGTTGGGCCACGTGTTACGTATGCGTGAACACCGACTACCACGACGTGCAATGCTGAGGATGGTTGGAAGAAGGTTAGGGACGGCCAAACCAAAAACGTGGCATCAGTGCTTGAAGTCACTAACTTCTGATCTGAGCCATGTTGGTAGATGCAGACTACTTGGTTGGGGTCCGCGTGACTGTCGTAACCAATGGTTGGAGACTCTTGGTGACATGGCTCAGAATCGATCGCAATGGCGTCGTTTTATACACTCCCTGTCTTCCCTTAAACTAAGAGATTAAAATCACTTCATATCTTTCTTTCTACTAACTAATTCTTTCTTCCTGTACTGTATCCTTATATGCAATCTTTCTCCTATATATTACCACCTTTGACCTAACCACTCCTATGAATCCGGTGTTCATCTTGCTGTGCTAATGAGGTATGACAACCTGGACCGATGCATATATGTGCCTGGTCCTACGTTGTGGCTGACTGACTGTATGCCTGAACACCGATTACCACGACGTGCAATGCTGAGGATGGTTGGAAGAAGGTTAGGGACAGCCAAACCAAAAACGTGGCATCAGTGCTTGAATTCACTAACTTCTGATCTGAGCCATGTTGATAGATGCAGACTACTTGGTTGGGGTTCGCGCGATCATCGTAACCAATGGTTGTAGACTCTGAACGACACAACTCAGAATCGATTACAATCACGTAGGTGTATATAATTGTCTGCCTTTAAACGGTGAGATTAAAATACTTCTTTCTGTATTATATATTTATACACAATCTTTCTTTTATATATTACTACTATTTATGTAACTACTATGAATTTGGTGCTCATCGTGCTGTACTAATGAGGTGCGGCAACTTGGACCGATGCATATATGTGCCTGGTTCTACGTTGTAGCTGACTGACTGACTGATTCATATGTTGAAGTCACTGTCCACGAAAATGTCAAATATCAATGGGAAAATATAACATACAACTAGATTCAAACAAACAAATAAGGAAACTACTAACCGTCTATCTTCACTTTTCTTTTCGTCACGTGGCTTTGACTTAGATAATGATGCTCTAAGAAAATATTTTTATAAACATGAAAATTTACTCCTTAGCACCGGATAACAATAATTCCAAGTCTTTAATCATAGCCAAAGCTTCGACGTCATCTACACAATCTTTTTTATTATTGATATTATCACTATGGAATTCCTCTTCCAGTTCATCAGGATGAACGAATTTGTTACGAATCCCATCCTTTTTATCAGTATCACTGCACGGTTCTACATTTTCAGATTCCACATTCAATCGCTGGATGGAAAATAAACAAGACATTAATGACAGTGAGAAAACAGAATACCTCGTCGTTTGGATCTTCATTTGGCATACACAAAGCAGGTAAAAGTCGCTTTCTCAATTCTAGTTTGTTTTTGACAACATCTAACTCAGAATCTTTCTTGTTAGATGAAGATGTTAATGCCTTCTTTTTAGTAACTTTCTCCTTCTTTGGAAGCATTTTCTCAACTAGGCGTAAAATACTGGCTATTAATGGGTCCTGTGGACAAGAAAACAAACATCAAAGGTAATCTAATAAATGCCCTTACCGTAAACTCTGCGCCTTTCTTTTCCAAAGCACTTTTGAATTTTTCAAAAGTCGGATTTTTCTTAGCCAAATGAATAACAAATTCAGCTGTGAAAGAGTTGATATGATCAAAAAATCCAAACAATCAACTTACCCAGGACTTTGTCATCTAAACCCAAATGATTTGTTAATTCTGTGCAAACTTTTGAAACTAAAGAGAAGTATTCCAGTTGGCGAAAACCAGAGTCGTCTGATTCGACAACCATTATGGTGTTTGAATTACTAAACTCTGAATAAGAAGTAGGAAATCCACTTAATAAAATCTGGTATAAAACTAAGGTAATCTGCACTAATCACAGAATTTAAACAAATATGAAGAGATCTTGCTGGGTCTTTGACTCGCCAGTTTAAACACGTGACCCCATGCAAAATAAAACTGGGCTGCATTAACTCCTTATTACCTTGTGGGGTTGTGAACCAGATTACATATACAATGATTAAATCTGACACAAAGCATTACATTAATGATATTAAGAGATCATTAAAAAAATCCTTTACTAGCCAATAAACTATATACCAACTGCTAAATAATTTCTTGCTAGGTAATGTAGCTTTGACTGAAGAAATACATGGCTAGCCTAACGAAAGATTACAAGAGATATAACTTTTATCAGATAACTATACATATTTTATAATAAATAAATATTCGCTCTCCAAAATGAGATTGATATGAAGAAACTTTTCCAAAATTAAAGACGGTATAAACGAGGGAAAATGTCAATCCTCACTAAAATTAGGACAGATAAGTGAATTGGGCCGAAAAAAAATCTACACAAACAGTTAATTGTCCCAAGCACATAACAAAGACCTTCCCAGAATGAATATCAAAACAGACTACATCGACTTCTGTGTAAAAAAAGCAAGGTCAACATGACAGCAGGAAAAGAACCTCGGTGGTCAAATTAGACCGTTTCTTGAGGTTGGTTATCAAGGAAATAAAGTGGTAAATGACCAGTGACCCCTTTCACAGGTATAAACGAATCCGGATTTCGCTTAATTTATGCAACTGACAAGTAAGCTGAAGCCTAGTTTTAGTCTGGAAAAAAGTCCTAGACCTTGGCTCCATTTTAAGTGCAATTTTTGAAAACAAACAGTTGAATTCCACTTTGCGCTTAAAACATCAACAGCCTCAGTAAAGTTGTGAACAAAATCATTTCACTCTGGATTTCGACCTCGGAAAGAGAAATTTGCGATCATTTTTAAAAGTAGGTATGCTCTTCACCATCTTTACGACCGAACTGCTACAACATAGTAGGTCGATAACACAACCTGAAAGTCATAAACTCATGAACACTAGCAGCAAACAACTATCAGTTCAGAAGTTGAGCTACCACGCCAATGACCATGGATACTCAAAACCATCTAGGATATAAAAGTGCACAGTAATAAAATGATACGGTTTATTCAGTTACGAGATTTTCTCGACCTCATTTTTACCTGACCGTGATAGAATTCAGTAATACTACCAATACATATGAATGGTTATCAAAAAGTGTTTTAGTATGTGAATAGTGACAAGTATGTGAAATTCGGACGAGTAGCTAACAGCAATTAGTTAAACATCAGTGTATTCGTAAAATACATGCTCGAAACTCAATGTCTTGATTTGCCATAGACTATTTATTTATATATATACCTACCGGCTGATGGTGCATACAAGTCAGCTGCAAGTATGCAGTTTAGTATAAGACGGGAAACGATTTAATTGGGATATAGTGATTATAAGTTGTAGGGATCAACTAAGCTTATATGTCGCAACATTAGATGATGTGGTGCAGCAAGATGACTTTTGCTAAATAGGTTTCAACAAAATAATTAACAGTGAGTGGTGCTCATGTGATTACCAGTGAGAACATAGAGGGCATAAACTCTGAAGTGTCGGCTGACACTTGGATGCTTTACAAGGGGGGCATCAGTAGAAAAGACAGGCATACAACCGGGTAACTCAACCATACACACCCTGGATAGTCCCAAAGAAAAGAAGCACAGCCATCCCTGGATAGGCCGGGATATTCGACGTTTACTAAGATAAAAGAAGAAATGTTGGAGCGTTGTCATCAGCCTTGAACGCTGCAAATACGATGGAATTCTACAGGTCGATACGAAATAAGTGTATAATTAAAATTCCGGAAGCCAAGAGAAAATATGAAATGCATTTAGCATAATCTGCAATCAAGTAGCCTAAGAGATTATTCTCGTACATAAATTACAGAACAAGGATGCACCATTGGATTCCCAGCCTGATTAAAGAAGGGAGTGAATCTGAAATAATGGAGGATGATCGGGAAAACGCGGAGGCTATGGCTAACTATTTTGAGGCAGTTTTCACTCAGGAACTTCTTCTAGACAAAGGACCAGACCCAAATACAAAGTCGAAAACCGTCTGCTCACCGTGGACTTTGATCAAGACGATGTACTTAAGACTCTTAGTACCTTGGACATGGACAAGTCAATAGGACCAGATGAACTATACCCCAAAATCCTGAAACAAACTGAACAATATATCGTAGCCCCACTAACTGTGATATTCAGTATGTCAATTGGCCACGGTGTGTTACCTGTGGACTGAAAGGATGCAATCGTCACTCCAATACACAAAACAGGACAACGTCCATCGAACTACAGACCTGTCAGCCTCACCAATGTCGTAGTTGAGATACGGGAAAGAATAGTCAAAAAGACCATAATGGCATTTGTGGAAGCCAACTTGTTAAACAGCACACAACATGGTTTCAAAAAGGGTTATCTTGCACAACAAATCTCATTATAGCAAGGGAGCAATGGATAAAGGCACTAGACAATGGAAAACCAGTGAATGTTGTCTACATAGACTTTAGTAAGGCATTTAACAACGTGCCAACAAATAGACCGCTATTAAAGTTAGAATATCTTGGTATTGCCGGACCTCTTTTAAAACGGCCTAAAGATTTCCTAGTAGGTCGTATACAGAAAGTAAGAGTAAACTCCAAGTGCTCCACCTGAAGACCCGAACTTAGTGGACTACCTCAAAATTCTGTCCTCGGTCCTTTACTTTTACTACTGTATATAATTGATCTCCCAAGTATAGTACAGTCCCCAATGATATTATACGCTGACGATGTAAAAATCTGACGAGTAATAACGGGAAACGCAGATGCATGCGCACTTCAGGCATACTTAAATAATGTGACTAACTGGTCTAAAGAGAGGCTGATGCCTATCAACGCGGCAAAGTGTGTCTACATCCGATTTGGGGATACAAAGGTTGATAGGTACAGAATAGAGGAAGTGCCTGTACCCATAGTCCAGTCTCATAAGGATCTTGGGGTGATAGTGAGTCATGATCTCAAGACTACGGCTCGTTGCACGGAGGTCGCAGCTAAGGGGTTTAGAACTCCTTGGGCTTTAAGACGGACATTCACTAAGTTAAATACTACCGTGTTCACTACAGTATACAAAACCTTAGTGAGAATTAAGCTTGAGAACTGCGTTCATGCTGCAAGCCCCTATTTAAAAGGTGACTCGGGTATCCTGGAAAAAGTATAGAGGGCAGCTACTCGTACAATTCCAGAACTCCGGGGTTTACCATACCATACCATACAAAGAAACCTCAAGTGGTGTTCGTCAAGGCTGTCTACTTTCCCCATTTTTGTTTAACTTCATCATAGATCTACTGATGGAAATAACTTTCTCGTCGACTGAGTTCTCGGGTATTGATCTCCATCCAGGAGGTCCACTTATCGACTTAGAATACGCAGATGACATAGTCCTGTTCGGAGAAGATGCTGACAAAATGCAGAGTCTTTTCGTAGCACTAAGCAACAATGCCAGAATGTTTGGAATACGCTTCTCTCCCTCTAAATGCAAGTTGTTGCTTCAGGACTGGTCTGTCTCAACACCTGAACTAAGGATAGGGAGTGAAGTAGTCGAACGCGTCGACAACTTCACTTATCTTGGAAGTCTGATCAGCCTTAATGGGCTGGTATCGGACGAAATCTCAGCACGGATTCGAAAAGCTCGTTTGGCTTTTGCCAACTTGCGTCACCTTTGGCGAAGGCGAGATATCCGTCTATCAATAAAAGGACGAGTATACTGCGCGGCAGTCCGTTCTGTTTTACTTTACGGCAGCGAAACATGGCCTTTAAGAGTAGAAGACACTCGTAAGCTACTAGTATTTGACCACAGATGCCTTAGAAATATTGCTGGCGTCTGCTGGGATCACCGGGTAAGTAATAGTGAGGTTAGACGCAAGGTATTAGGGAATGATGGTAAACCAGTTGATGAGGTTGTGAATCTTCATCGACTGAGATCGTTGGGCCACGTGTTACGTATGCGTGAACACCGACTACCACGACGTGCAATGCTGAGGATGGTTGGAAGAAGGTTAGGGACGGCCAAACCAAAAACGTGGCATCAGTGCTTGAAGTCACTAACTTCTGATCTGAGCCATGTTGATAGATGCAGACTACTTGGTTGGGGTCCGCGTGACTGTCGTAACCAATGGTTGGAGACTCTTGGTGACATGGCTCAGAATCGATCGCAATGGCGTCGTTTTATACACTCCCTGTCTTCCCTTAAACTAAGAGATTAAAATCACTTCATATCTTTCTTTCTACTAACTAATTCTTTCTTCCTGTACTGTATCCTTATATGCAATCTTTCTCCTATATATTACCACCTTTGACCTAACCACTCCTATGAATCCGGTGTTCATCTTGCTGTGCTAATGAGGTATGACAACCTGGACCGATGCACATATGTGCCTGGTCCTACGTTGTAGCTGACTGACTGACTGACCATACAAAGAGCGGCTTGAAAAGCTAGACCCCTTTACTCCGTCCTATCGCAGGCTAAGGGGATATCTAATCTTGATGTATATAATACTAAGAAATGATTTTGGACCTAACGCATTCTATCTTTTGCTTCCCACTAGATCGGGACATCTCAGAGGACATAGCAGGCGAGTAGAAAGGCCAAGAATGAACAAAATACACGTGGCATACAAGTTTTCACATCGAGCCATCAGTTTTTGGAACCTGTTACCCGAAGCACTGGTGTCCACACCTTCAATTGACTCATTCAAGAGAAGACTATACACTCACAGTGGCATAATAGAAAAGGAATAACATAGGCCTTAGGCCCTCTGTCCTTACTACACAAATCTGAACCTGAACAATAACTAGGGACTTAATATTCGGTCGAACAACAGTAGAATGTGAATGTTTCTGGCCTTCGACAGATTTCTACTTTGTACCAAAATATAATATTGAATAAAGCCATTAATAATAATAATATATTTCACGGTCACGTATCAAAACAGAATAAACTGGAAGGTGATAAGCTCATCTGATAAATAATCGAACATCTGTTCTGCGTTACAAGAGGCAAGGAATGCATATCTGTGAGAAGTGTCAAAGAATACTGTCTTAGGACTGCTCTTAAAAGAGAAGCGTGGGAGTTTATTTCGATCGTAACCCTGATGCCTAGGTGTCCAGAACACACAACTGTAAGTATTAAGCCGCTTCGGAAGGGTTTCATTGTCAAAGAATAATCTGTGCGAGTTGAAACGTCCCAATATCCTGATTTCGGGGAAGCAACAACAGAAAACTTTGGGGAAATTGCGTGAAAACCCCTAAATTTCCCTAAAATCTAGAGACTGGGATGTCATTGAATGCAGTAACTCTTCTTTGAATCTAAGAGAAAACCCCACTGCCTACGTGATGGTTTACGTCTAGCTAGAAAGTACTTTGTGTACTAGGGGAGCATACAGAGTAACGTAAGCAAAGACTGGAATAGTGAAGAACAAGAGGTGAGTCAACGACCCAGTAAGCGTATATAATGCATTCACACCTAATAACGAAACCAATCGAGAACAGTCAGCGATTCCAAGCAGTGATCTCAAAATCACTGATGAGGCTGATACCACTTGTTCGGGTAAGGCGTTCCAATCATTGACTACTCGATGAGAAAAACGGGACACCACTTTAAGTTTATTAGGTCGTGGTTTACGAACCTTCTTGCTATGACCTCGGAGATTATTAGTGCTGGAGGGAGCAAAAAGATAAGACATATTAACACCCAAATCATAATTAAAGATACGAAATGCCAGTATAAGGTCACCTCGTGTCCTATGATACGACAAGGGGAGAAAATTTGGGCGTTTTAAACGCTCGTCGTAAGGGAGTCTAAAAAGACCCTTTACTAATTCCGTTCCCACACGCTGGACACGCTCAAGGGAGTTAGTATCCTTTACCAGACATGGGCTAGCTGCTTGGATACAGTACTTTAAATGTGGTCTAACATATATGGGATATAAAATTCGAAAAGTTCCCTCGTCAAAAGTTTTGAACGCTCGGCGAAGTGACCATAACGCACGAAAACCTTTGACAGCGGCTGCTTTGCAATGCGTAGTTGTTTTTAAATCATGACTTAACACTACTACTAAGTCTTTATGCTCTTGAACGCATGGAAGAGGTTTACCCTCAATAGTATAACGGTAACTATTACCATAACCGATGTGCGTTAGCACACTTTTCCTAACATTGATTTCTAAGTCCCACTCTCGAGCCCATCTAACTAAATCGTCTAAGTCAGCTTGAAGACCTCCACAGTGTTATTAACTGCAAGGATTAATATAGGTCGATAGACCTCCCATCCCTATAACTGAAGACTGAACAGTCAGAAACAACACAATTCTTAAATTAAAACAATCTTGGAATCGACACTAAAAAATTATGGTCCAACTGCCAATACCAACAATGCTGTAGTAGACGTAGCGTTACTTTTGAAACTGCGCTGAATGAATTCTAACTTCAGGTTACTCGAGGATGATGAAATACCTGTTTTTGTTCTATTCTAACATGTTTAAGCTCGTGAATAAATCAACTGAAGATGCAGACGTCAATTCTTTCAGCTGTATCTTCAATTTTTTGGACAGAAATAAGGAACCTGATTGTTTGCTGGGGTATTTGTATGAGATGTGAAAGAGAGATTTTTGTCACTAGGACGCATTATTATATTTTTTGCTCAGAAGAACCCGAGGGACAAAAAATAGTCAATAGTTTTCATCCAGGAATAACACAAAAAGCAGTTTTCCCAATCACTTTCGCATAGAGATGACGGTTAATATATCAGATTTCAGGTTCAGATTTGTGTAGTAAGGACAGAGGGCCTAAGGCCTATGTTATTCCTTTTCTATTATGCCACTGTGAGTGTATAGTCTTCTCTTGAATGAGTCAATTGAAGGTGTGGACACCAGTGCTTCGGGTAACAGGTTCCAAAAACTGATGGCTCGATGTGAAAACTTGTATGCCACGTGTATTTTGTTCATTCTTGGCCTTTCTACTCGCCTGCTATGTCCTCTGAGATGTCCCGATCTAGTGGGAAGCAAAAGATAGAATGCGTTAGGTCCAAAATCATTTCTTAGTATTATATACATCAAGATTAGATATCCCCTTAGCCTGCGATAGGACGGAGTAAAGGGGTCTAGCTTTTCAAGCCGCTCTTTGTATGGTCAGTCAGTCAGTCAGCTACAACGTAGGACCAGGCACATATGTGCATCGGTCCAGGTTGTCATACCTCATTAGCACAGCAAGATGAACACCGGATTCATAGGAGTGGTTAGGTCAAAGGTGGTAATATATAGGAGAAAGATTGCATATAAGGATACAGTACAGGAAGAAAGAATTAGTTAGTAGAAAGAAAGATATGAAGTGATTTTAATCTCTTAGTTTAAGGGAAGACAGGGAGTGTATAAAACGACGCCATTGCGATCGATTCTGAGCCATGTCACCAAGAGTCTCCAACCATTGGTTACGACAGTCACGCGGACCCCAACCAAGTAGTCTGCATCTATCAACATGGCTCAGATCAGAAGTTAGTGACTTCAAGCACTGATGCCACGTTTTTGGTTTGGCCGTCCCTAACCTTCTTCCAACCATCCTCAGCATTGCACGTCGTGGTAGTCGGTGTTCACGCATACGTAACACGTGGCCCAACGATCTCAGTCGATGAAGATTCACAACCTCATCAACTGGTTTACCATCATTCCCTAATACCTTGCGTCTAACCTCACTATTACTTACCCGGTGATCCCAGCAGACGCCAGCAATATTTCTAAGGCATCTGTGGTCAAATACTAGTAGCTTACGAGTGTCTTCTACTCTTAAAGGCCATGTTTCGCTGCCGTAAAGTAAAACAGAACGGACTGCCGCGCAGTATACTCGTCCTTTTATTGATAGACGGATATCTCGCCTTCGCCAAAGGTGACGCAAGTTGGCAAAAGCCAAACGAGCTTTTCGAATCCGTGCTGAGATTTCGTCCGATACCAGCCCATTAAGGCTGATCAGACTTCCAAGATAAGTGAAGTTGTCGACGCGTTCGACTACTTCACTCCCTATCCTTAGTTCAGGTGTTGAGACAGACCAGTCCTGAAGCAACAACTTGCATTTAGAGGGAGAGAAGCGTATTCCAAACATTCTGGCATTGTTGCTTAGTGCTACGAAAAGACTCTGCATTTTGTCAGCATCTTCTCCGAACAGGACTATGTCATCTGCGTATTCTAAGTCGATAAGTGGACCTCCTGGATGGAGATCAATACCCGAGAACTCAGTCGACGAGAAAGTTATTTCCATCAGTAGATCTATGATGAAGTTAAACAAAAATGGGGAAAGTAGACAGCCTTGACGAACACCACTTGAGGTTTCTTTGTATGGTATGGTATGGTAAACCCCGGAGTTCTGGAATTGTACGAGTAGCTGCCCTCTATACTTTTTCCAGGATACCCGAGTCACCTTTTAAATAGGGGCTTGCAGCATGAACGCAGTTCTCAAGCTTAATTCTCACTAAGGTTTTGTATACTGTAGTGAACACGGTAGTATTTAACTTAGTGAATGTCCGTCTTAAAGCCCAAGGAGTTCTAAACCCCTTAGCTGCGACCTCCGTGCAACGAGCCGTAGTCTTGAGATCATGACTCACTATCACCCCAAGATCCTTATGAGACTGGACTATGGGTACAGGCACTTCCTCTATTCTGTACCTATCAACCTTTGTATCCCCAAATCGGATGTAGACACACTTTGCCGCGTTGATAGGCATCAGCCTCTCTTTAGACCAGTTAGTCACATTATTTAAGTATGCCTGAAGTGCGCATGCATCTGCGTTTCCCGTTATTACTCGTCAGATTTTTACATCGTCAGCGTATATTAACATTGAGGACTGTAGGTATATATATAAATAAATAGTCTATGGCAAATCAAGACATTGATTCTCGAACATGTATTTTACGATTACACTGATGTTTAACTAATTGCTGTTAGCTACTCGTCCGAACTTC